CAGTGCAAAAGTTCCGAGTCTATTTTGGAAAGGCGCCGATAACAGTGTACTCTGATCTTGCGGCGGTAACTAGATTGTACTCAGGAAAAAATTTATCCCCAAGGTTAATAAGATGGGCACTCAAGCTGCAAGAATATAATCTGGTAATCAAGCATACCCCCGGAAAGGAAAATATCGTAGCAGATGCCCTATCAAGAATTAAAATAGACGAACAAGGTAATACCGTAAAAGTGGCAATGCTTACAGCATGTACAATAAATTCCCGAGAAACTGTAATAACCGAACTGGGTAAGGATCCTGAGTTTGGAAGCATTTATGAGTATTTGAAAGATCCTGAAAATTTTAGCCACCAAGATATTGTGGCGATAAGAAATAGGGCGGCGCATTACGAACTAATAGATGGTCTATTATTCTATACAAAAAACTACGAATTCCAACAACGAATTTCGACCTGTTATCCCAGCTAGTCTTAGATTAAATATCCTGCAGGAGCTCCATGACAGCCCTTTAGCTTCTCATGCTGGTATTCGAAAAACTATCCAACGCGTACGCGAGGCAGTCTACTTTCCTGAACTGCAAAAGTTAACAAGGGCGTATGTCCAGTCCTGCCCAACATGTCAAGCAGTTAATTATATTAATTTCCGTCCGGCCGGGTTTCTAAATAGTATTAAATCCGATTTTCCAAATGAAATAATTGGCATAGATTTATTGGGCCCTTTCCCAAAAAGTCAGTTAAATAAAAGTCGCTATCTCCTTGTTATGGTTCATCATTTTAGTAAATGGACCGAAATTGTTCCCTTAAAACGAGCCTCCGCGAAATTAGTTACTAATTCTATTTTAAATAAGTATATTTTAAAATACGGGGCGCCCCTAAAAGTTATATCGGATAATGGTCCTCAATTTGTAAGTAATATATTTGAAGACATGTGCCAAAAACTGGGCATACGTCATTTAAAAATGGTCCCGTATCGGCCGCAATCAAATATAGCGGAACGGGTCAATAGAAATATAGTGAAAAGTATCCGTAGTTATGTTAAAAATTTTCATAAAAGCTGTGATAACTATGTCAATGAATTTGCTTTCGCCCTTAGGACCGCAAAACATGATACAACGGGCAAAACTCCTGCTGAGTTATTTCTAGGCAGAAAGATTATAACACCGTTAGATAAATTATTTTATGTGCAACAAAGAGCCCCAGAATTTAAAATGGGTGATATAGAAAAACTAATAAAAGAAGCAAAAAAGAATACGGAAGTAGCACAAAGAAAACAGAAGCTCTATTATGATTTGAAACGACGGGGAGTAACTTATAAAGTAGGGGATGAAGTTTTAAAAATTAAGCATTCACTTTCTTCAGCACCAGAAGATAAAACTGCCAAATTTTTTCCACGATTTGAAGGACCATATGTTATAGAAAAAATAACTCACACTGTAGTAGTGTTAAAAGCCAGAAATGGTGAAACCTGTTCCGCAAACATTGATCAAATCAAGCCCTACTTCGATCGTAATAAAATGCAAATATTTTCAGATCTTTTGCAGGATCCGGCACGGCAGACACCGCAGGCACAAGCTCCAGAGGTGGAAAAACGACAAGTACAAGGGCAAGCCAATAAGAGGCAGGAGCAAGTAAAAGAAAATTGCCCCGCAGAAAAATTGAAGGTAGCAAGAAAAAGAAGCCGTTCCACCGTCCAGAAAACAGAGTTCACGAACACCCCCAGAATGAAGAAGGGAGAAGGACGACGTATGTGAAGAGAACCAGGAGAAATGACGGCAACTATAACCCGGCTCTAAAACGGAAGATCGACTCATCCGACAGGACTCTTCGTAGTAAATGTAGCCGAACTGCGGAAGGGCCATCAGCGGCGGAGGAAAAGTTACAAGGAAAATTTGAACGGCCAACAACGAGGTCCAAGCAGGAACACGACAGAAGTTTCCCGGTTCCGCCAAGACTAGCTGCCATCAAACGGCCAAGACCACAAGCAGAGGAGAAAAAGAAGGTATTCAAGGGTGACCGAACTGGTGAAAAAAGGAAGCTTCCAGAGGAAAGCACTGAAGGGCGAGCCCGTACAAGAAGGAGGATAAATCACACAACTATCTGCAATACCTTTAAAGACTGGGCCCAGAAAAGGATGTCCGAATATCACAAAGATAAGTAAAATTTTATGTTACTTTGCAAACTTAAGTTAATCTTTCATTCTTACTGCAAATGGCAGATTTCAAGAAGTTTTACCTCATGCGAGGTCTACCTTTATCGCCAAAAGGGCGAGAAATGAGTTGTTACCGATTTTCGTATTATGTTTTTAAATTACTCGCGCGTAAAACTAAAATTGATGTATAATAGCGTTGTGTAAAGACTTAAATATTGAAAAAAGTTATTGTATAAATTTTATTTAAAACATTCTAGCAAGAGAGAAGTTTTAGTCTCAAAGACTTTTTGAAATGTAGTATTTCAATGTAGAAAGAATTGGCACTTGCTTTGAAAAGAATAGAAGTTAACAATGTACTACTAATGTATGTTTTCAAATGTGTAAAATTAACGGCATGTTGATATGTTCTTATATACAATGTGAACTGTTATTTTAAATGTTAAGAAATACCGTGATATGGTAAAAGTGAATGTTAAAATTTTTTTTATTCGTGTGACTGTAAAAAGACTAAAGCATGGCGAATATGTGTTAAAGGTTGAATGATGTAGTTAGGCTCTCTGACGCTACACTTTAGAGTTTACACTTTCAGAATAGTACCTCAGGATTTAGAGTTGAAATTAGGGTGTGTTAAGAGGTCTTGTTATGTTGAATTTTAACACGTTAGTGTTTTGATTGTAGGAGGAAGTGTGGAACACGTAGACAGAAACACATTCGTGTTTGGTGTTCTTTTACAACACATGTCAGAGAGCACGGCGAGAGATAACTAAAATAGTCATGAATGAAATAAGAATGTTAAGAGAAGTATAATTGTATATGTTACTTGCCATTTCATTGTGTAACATTTCATTAAACTAGTTTTCTTTCCAGATCTCTGGAAGGAACCAGAATTGAATAAAAGCTCCTGTTTAGATGCAGTACAGATGAAAAAAAATTGTTGTATATCCTGGGAGCTGCTATTGTAAAAAAAAAAAAAAAAAAAACAAATTTCTATCTTTTAAAATTTCTAGTTTCTAGCGAAGTATGTTTGTAAAAGATTGGCCTCGCGTTAGATTCTAGAGCTAAAAGTTTTCAACAAGGTCGTTTTAGACCTCAGTTTCAAACTAATTAACTCTGCGGGAAAGTATGTAAAGATCTTAAGTTTACTAACGTTTTTATTTTATTTTAAATCTTTACTATCACTTCTTATTTTTCTACTTCCGGCCAGAATTATAAGCGTTAAGGTTTTTATGCAAAGTTTGTCTGGCGAACGCCAAGTATTTAAGTTGTGGCCTTTTGCCAAGCGAGAGAGAGGAAGCAGTGAGTTCGAAGCAGGCCGCTTACCTTAGAAGTTACGCAGTTGCTTGTTGCCTTCCAGGCCAGAGGTTTTAATCCTCTTGATAACTTTTAAACGTATTGTAGTGTTCTCAGTTATCTGTACTACATACGCCTTCCTGTTAATATAAGGCCAATCTTCCACGTTTATTAGTTTAAAGTTAAATGAGAGTTTAGTTTTATTTTTATACTTTTACGTTAGACCCCGAGTAGCGGGTCAGCGTATTCCGAAGTACGGAAGTTATTGTATATAGAGAAAAATAAAGGGTTTTGTATACCCTGCATGTGTATCCTGTCTACTTACCACAATTAGTGAACAAAGCTTTAGTAAGTTCTCTGTTCCGAGTCAGGTCCTTGTATGTTCCCGAAGAAGGTAAGAAGGAACATTGACCCTGATAATGTGTCCAGATTTATTCGTATGTCCGAAAAGTAATTATTGCACTCTCGTTTGGGATGTAAGCAGTTATCATGCTTAAGCAATAGTGTAATAGTGTAAGATCCGTAGTTCAAATCCCCAGGAGGACACAATTGACTTTCATCCGTTTTTGACTCCAAAAACTCCATTACGTCACTACTCCTGTCAGTCGTACTCCTACTCCTGCTATAGTTAACGTTATTACTTTTGAGGATAAGGAATTTGCTCGGCAATTAGATTAAGAATCTCATTTATGATAAGATAAATCTTACATTTAGTAATAAAAACATTCATTATGCATTATGCATCATGTAAAACATTTAGTAATAAAACAATTCATTATTCTTTCATTAACACAGTTCTCTCGGCATGATTAACTTATATTGTTTTGGCTCATCCAATAACTCACGTCGTATGCGACATCATTTTCACCACTTAGTCAATAGCAGTTAATGTATGGAGATGTGTTCGAATAGAGGTTGATAGCGGCAGAAAGAGTACCAGAAGCAATTTAAAAATATGGACAGAAATAAAAACAAAGCGTAATATTTTTCTTAATTTTAAATCATTTAATTTAAGTATTCAAAGTATTTTTTGGGTGAAATTATAAAAGAATAAATGAAATAACGCATTGTAAACGGAACATCAAATCGAAATTTCCCAAAAAATCGTTCATGCGACACTTACTTTTAGGGAAATACTTCAGTTTATTACTAAAAAATGTGCGGCAGAGAATACATGACTCTTTAAACTTAGTTTGAATTCTTCTAATGAAGTGTCTTTTTTTCTTTTTCAGAGTAATCAGTCAGATTTAACTTTATATTTCATTTTTCTGTCAGAATTTTCTAATAATAATAAAGGAAATTTTCAGTCAAAAATCATTCAAAAATTGTAAAAGAAGGCCCCAGCAATTATTGTCAGAATGGATACAAGTAATCTTTCAGCGGCATTCAGGGACTCTTTAGAAAAATCACAGAATCTCGTAAATGTCAATAAAAAGAAACTTAAGCTTAATATTCTTGTCACATATACAACACGTTTATAAAAATAAGTATTTCTGACCAGAAGAACCACGATACTAATTTCATCTTTTAATGAAAGTTCCGATAAAAAAATTTGAATGTTACCTGACTGGATGCAACCTGGTGTCAGGCATTCGGAGTCATTGAAAAAAGATACAAGGCGAGCTATGTCGGGAGGCAGGTCAGCAGTTTGTCCTATATGTGGAACAAAACATTTCATTCATTTTCAGTAAAATAGATAATATTTTATCATATGTTTAAATTTATTTATATCATAATATGTGTTATATAATAAAATTATAGGCTTTCTGAGGCTATATTTATGAAGATACGACTCTTTCCCGATGGGATAAAGTAAACTAAAGTTATTAATGCAACTGATGTGTGTTAAAGGAGTGTACGTTTCTACGCTATGTTTACGTAGATGTTTCTACGTTATGTTTAAGTCTCAGAAGCTTCCTTCATTAGCTGTAACAATTCAATATATCACTGCACATGGATACTCATAAAATGAGCGTAAACAATTATTTTCAAGAAAAAGCAAGTGCATCCCTTTGCTAGAAGTGAAAAAGCACTTTTCCCCAACGCATGGAGTCCTTGTTGATTAAACATTTGTCAAAAACGGTCCAATAGGTAAGTTATTTAGCAGTCTTATCAGCAAAAAGGTTTTACAAGGGGAAACCAATTATATCTGCGAGAAAGGGGAAACCAATTATATCTGCAAGAAAGGGCAAACTTCATCCCAGCCGGGTTAGAAAACACACTGGGAGATGAATCGAAGGTTTTCACCCATTTCTTTCCATACCGCAAAACTCCAGAGAGGACGTCAGGCTTGACAACATTTTGATAAACCAATCAGTAAAAATACTTACAAATTTCCATCGCTTCTCAAGGATTAGAAACCGGTCCTAAGACTATGGAAGATGGTCTCCCTAATACCTTGCCAACAGGACGGCAAAGAGTAAAACCTGAGATCTTGTTCTTTATTCAACAACATTGAAACTATAACAAAAGCATATTCAGTCAGCATCAATTGTTACTTTGTCACTGCTATTGCCAAGGCTGTTTCTCTGCTTCGCAGACATACTGTGAATATTTTCCGTATTCCTTTCCATAAAAATGTGTGATTTAGATAGTGACAAACAGAAGATCAAGCTGCACAGTATTAAAATAATGTAATAAGTTTTAAGAAAAAAATATTTCTGAAGTACGCTTATTATAGGTTTTAAGAAAATGTTAGTTATGAAAATCTGATCATGACCTGCTTCGATGTATCCGGGTGATGGACAGATGTCGACGACGGACGTATAGTTGACGGGAGTTACTACGCAGTCTGTGGTGGCTGGCACATATAGATCTAGTTGGGGACCTAGAAAATATATTTATGTCTTATCAATAATAAGCACATATATTATATACTAAACATAATGCATTCAGCATGTTCATAAAATTACTTGAGCAGCCTTTATTTTCACAATTTCTGATCGCAATCATGTTCTTCCCTTGAAAAATGGAGCTCTTAAACCTTCCCTTAAACAACCAAATATTCGTGTTATGGTATTTTTAAATTTTGAGCTAAAGAGTGGTCCAAAAGCTGCAATTTATCTATTGTTATATAGATAATAACAAAAACTTTTGTCATCTTTCCTGAAACAATGAAAGCTCGATATAATAAATTATAAGAGAAAATAATGATGAAAAATAATTAAAGAAGAATAAAACAAGCTACTATATATAATCCTGTAATATTTCTTCAAGGAGTTGTTGTCTAATGTAACAGAGTAAAATAGAGTGTACAGGCATTCAAGTACATAGTGCATATATACATTGAAAATATAAGTTAAATCCAATATGTATATAGAAACAGTTAAATCCAATATGTATATAGTCACACTGATGTATGGCAATATAAAAATAATAAATATTAATACTAGCCTAGAAAATACCTGTTATATATATACTAGCTCAGAAATTAGATCAATAGTGCAATAAAGTGCAAAAAATAAAAAGTGCAGTAATTGGTGAAAACAAAACATAGAACAGATAATATATAGGACGATTCAGAACCATTGTTCAAAAATCTGCATATTTCTCAGGAACATGATAGCAAGCAAGAAACATATAGAAACATATGGTGGCATGCAAAATCCAGACGCGCAAGAATTACGCTAGCTTTCGCTTATCTAGCCATCTCGAATTATCTGGAATTCACGGAGAAAGTTAGCCAGGATGAAGCAATGAAAAGCGTATTTAGGAGTATGAGAATAAAAAAGGATGAACCGCTGCACGAAAAGAGAAATAGCGGATATACGCCTCGTTTGCGGCTCAGCTAATTGCATCCGCTAAGGATCTATATCATTTCCAGTTTCCCCACAGACGCTCATACCATATTTGGACGCCTGCATAATCGATTGAGCAAGGCTGAACATTTCGAAACACGAATGAACGATACTGGTGCTGACAGAACAACGTGGACACATAGCCTGGAGGAAGCCGTACTGTGAAATGTCAAAACCGAGCAGAGAAGAATACTCTGAGTATTGCAGCACGTCACGTTTACGCGCTTCTCAATCCAGCGTTCGGCGTAGCTTACATGATTAAGCGTACAGCTTGCACAACATGTGAAAGCTGGGTCCTTCGGTGATTACCAGTAGTATATAGACTTTGAGCATTAGTTTGTAAAACAGACTGCAACAGTCCTCAACTTTGTAGTCGACGTCCTCTTTACTGACGAAGCAATGCTTACACAGGAAGGCATCTGCATTCTGCACAATGTGCATGTGCAGGCACATGAAAATCCAGAAACCATACTGCCTCTTGCTGCTCAATGTTCTCTTCAGCATCAATGTCTGGGCAGGTTTGCTTGGTGATAGAATGATCGGCCCCTACTTGCTTCCCTCGACCCTATATGAGGAGAGCTTTCGTACTTTTCTTGCAAGTCCTGCCAGAATTGCTGAGTGCATATGCAGCAGCGGACAGGGTTTCAACATGACTGAGATTCAGCGTATTGCACGCCAATATTGGAAGCTAGATTTCTGAGACGATGGTATGACATCAATGGACCCATCCCGTGGCTACCTAGCTCTCTAGTTCTGTCAGCTCTTGATTTTTTGGGGTGTTACATGAAAGCCCTACTGTACAAAACCTCTACGGAATCGGAAATGCATTTGGTAGCACGAATCGTTGCTACAAGTGGTGTTATTGCCGACAAACCAGGTATTCCTAGCGAACGTTCGTCGATCGCTGCGTCGTCATTGCGAGGCGTGTATTACAACTACAAGCTGCAACACTGAACACCTGATTTAAAACTTTCTTGTAAAAACAGTATTGTGTAAAACTCGTCTTTGTGAACCTTAATTACATAATCTCTGCGAATAAATTATCATTACTTATGACCTGTCTCCCTTCTTTTAGCCTCCGTCTTTGTGGGCATGTAACGCGTCTGGACTGCGTTTGCGACCATATATTTCTGTAAGATTCTTGCTTGCTATCTTGTTCCTGACCTGCATGTAGATTTTTTAACAATAGCTCTGAATCTCCCTGTACATAAAGAAGTAACATCCCTCGCAACATCGTCGTCAGGGAGTTGGAGTGTCGAGAGAAGCAAATAGAATAGCCTTTTTATATACTTATAATGACACATTTCATAATTCTAAAACTTTCTTAAACTAAAAAAAAAAATTAAAACAATTTTTGTTTTATCAGTCCGTTCTCTAACAAGATATTTTGTAATTTGTATACGCTACCCAAGCAAACTGTTGCTCTCCACTTTAGTGTTTTTCTAAACTATAGTTGTTTGTAATATTAAAATTGACATGTCTGCCTTGCTGGCTTCGTGGGAGAACATGAGTTTAGTGGTTCATGCAGTCATAAAAAATGGAACCTCTTCAGAGTAAGAATATAACATTGTAAAAAGAGATTATTAAACCGAAAGTATTCGATTTTTAATTTAAAGAGAATTTACGTAGTGAGTATTTGTATAAGAGGTAAAAAAAAGTATGCGAAGTTTTCTGTTTCAGTCATTAGATTCAACTTCAAAGAAGATTTAAATAAAAATCTGCTAAACTTTTAGAAATGTGAAAATTTTAATCTTATGTTTACTTAGTTCTGTTTTTATAATGCTGTTTTAATTGCTCGGTCTTACTAAATGCTAAAGTCATAAAAATCTGTGAATGTTCAGAGAATGTGTAAATAAATCAACTAGAATCGGCATTATGAAAGTAAACTTCTTCCAAATCATATAAACAGAGACACACATTTCTTATCTAAACTGGTAATAAATTTAATAATAGTTGCGCATTTCCGTACATTCATTACATTTTATAACTTGTCAGAAGGCAGAACCATCTCTGAAAATATGTTAAATTGAAGATAATAAAATTTGCTGCTGTAAAATAATATTCTAGATTAGAAACTTCTTAAAATTTGGTGGTGTCGATAATTTTCGGAAAGCAATGTTTCAAAGAAATAAAATACAAATCGTATCAGATCAATTACACTATTTTCTATTCGAAGGGAAGAAAAAATAAATAAATTTCTCAAATTTGTTCAGACACAAAATTTTCTTTTAAATATGATCATAATACCTTAAAAGTAATACATTTAGTAATTATAAAAATTAATTTTATAACTACTAAAAATAAATTTATGCAATTGAATGATAGAAATTAATAACATTTAGTAAGTTTGACTGAAGACAGTTTTTAAAATAACAGTTCAGTTCAAAAGAAAATAATAAATTATAATTTGAGTAAAAGGTGATCAATAATAATAAAATACCATTGAAACTTTGAGCGAATGATACTTCCCGCCTTGATTAAAAACGAAATTATTAAATTTTTCTTTAAATTAGAACTTATGGTAAGAATTAAATCTTAAAATATAAATAACATGAAATAATGTAATAAAACTAGACGCATTAAAGGCATTATATACATAGAAATATAATCAATCAATAAATAATTCGGAATATTTAAAAAACTTCGCATTCAATTCTCATTTTTAAATTAGGAAAAATTCAGCATCATTTGATTTTGATATTGATTTTATATTAAAAGAATAGTATCTTTTGGAATAAAGTTTTTAATCCGTCAAGAAGAGAGACCCATGACAATCTCCATCAAAATTGTTAAAATTCTACTTAATATTTTGTTTGCATCCTTCTGTACATTAAATTGAGGTAATTTACTCTAAAGTTTATCATTCGATCAAGTACCTCCTACATTCATAATTTTAAACTGGCAGGGGAGTACGAAATCCTTCTGTGTCCTTTATATGTTTTAAAAATTTCAGACAAAAGCACTAAACCAAACCCCGCAGATTATAAGTTACAATTTAGCGTCAATTGTACATAATTTATGTCCACACCCTTTTCAAAGATTAATTTAAGTTTGCATGCTTAAAATATAAGTGTGTCGCATTTTATATATTGGCGTAAGATCCCTAGACAAGGTTGAGAATTAAATTGTTGAATATCCTGCATGCTACTATTGCTAATAAAATGTATGAATTAAGAATTTTCAAGTAACCATATTTATAAAATAAATAGTTATCACTTACTTGTGAAGAGCGACAGCCGATAAAGAACTTTCGTTATTAAATCCATTTTATACTTGATATCTATAGCTTCTTGTTTTTATTATGACTTTAAAAAGAAGACATTCTACAATTACTGCAAGCTAGAAATGTTGCCATCCAATAAAATGGAATATGGCAGTGTGACAGCAAAAGTATTTCTAGTAAGCAAGCAATACAAAACAGCTAATAACAGGAATATTATTTCTCAATTTATCGTACTGCTACTTATGCTACATTTACATAAATGCGTGTTTTTCTTACTACTGTGCTGTGCGCTTAAGCCACGTAGTACATCACGTACACCGTTAAAAACACTTGTTGAACATTGTTTGAATGTTAAACAATAGTCCTAAATTCGATTTAAGTGTCAACATTAGATGAAAACTTGTCATCAAATAGGACTTACCACCTGCTCTTGAAACGAGCACATAAGGCTTAAATTACAAAGCAAAAAGCAACCACGCTTTAGCAAAGAGGTGCAATGACATATGTAATTGCGAATTACATCTGGACCTTTGTGGTATTAAATCAATAAAGTTCTATATGTATATTGAGCAGTTCATGACTTCAAAGAACAATCTCCACCCAGGTGTTTTTCGTTAATCGTAATACATTTGTAGGAAATAAAACAATGGTTAACTTACTACATTGAATATTAATGTGCAACAAAATACCAAACGCTGAAAAAGCCAAATAAATGTAACATTTTAAGCCTTTATAGAGCCTTTAAATCTAACATCCGTCTGCGAAAGAGAAGCGCTGAAAAAGCCAAATAAATGTAATATTTGAATATTTAAATAGCCTTTAAATATGCTAACTGTTTGTTAAAATTAATTTGTTAGGGAAGTGCCTGCTTTTAAAAGTGCAGAAATAAATCATTCCAAAGAATCAGGAACTGGTTTTTACAATATTATCAGGTTCGATGTTCCTTCTTACCTTCTTCGGGAACATGCAAGGACCTGACTCGGAACAGAGAGCTTACTAAAGCTATGTTCAAAACTGTGGGAAGTAAACAGGATACACAAAGAAGGGTATACATAACCCTTTATTTTTCTCTAATTACAATGACTTCCGTACTTCGGAATACACCGACCCGCTACTTGGGGTCAAAACGTAAAAAGTATAAAAAATAAAACTAAACTCTAATTTAACTTTAGAATAATAAACGTGGAAGATTGGCCTTATATTAACAGGAAGGGTATGTAGTACAGAGAACTGTGAACACTACAATACGTTTAAAAATTTATCAAGAGGATTAAAACCTCTGGCCTGGAAGGCAACCAGCAACTGCGTAACTTCTAAGGTAAGCGGCCTGCTTCGACTCACTGCTTCCTCTCTCTCTCTTGGCAAAAAGCCACAACTTAAATACTTGGCGTTCGCCAGACAAACTTTGCATAAAAACCTTAACGCTTATAATTCTGTCCGGAAGTAGAAAATAAAAAGTGATAGTAAAGATTTAAAATAAAATAAACGTTAGTAAAACTTAAGATCCTTATAATATGACCCCATTCTCATAGTGGATACTTATTTTATTTTTCACAAAAGCAATTAAAGATATTTCTGAGAACTCTGGAGTGCTGCTTGAGAAAATAGCGTAAAAATTATAATTTCGTAGTGGCAATAAGAAGAACTTTGTTCAAAAAATTATAAAATCCAAGTGCTTTTTTAAATTTTACTTTTTATAATTTCGAAGAATTGTTATCGCAAATCATAAGTTTTGTAATTTTCAGTAATTGTGAACCATATTCATAGGTGCGTAAGACAGTCTGTTGAATACATGCACTAGCAATCTGTATCACTAATCCCCCTCCCAAAAAAAAAAAAAAAGAAGAGGTATCTGTATGGTCTTCTCTTCTTTTATTCTGTATACTTAAATATGATCTTAGACAACCAGTTCCAGTTATAAACTTCGTCAAAGTAAGATACAGAATGTTGGGTAGAATTAGTTGGCACAAATGAAAATGACGTTTTATGGAATACGGCGTTGCTTGAGTTAGTTAGTTAGCGGCCGTAGGCGAGAGGGATCTACTTCATCCTTTCTTCTTTGAAAAAAGTTTCCATAATACGAGTGTAAGATTCCTCTAAATATAAAATCTAATATTTTATAGAATTTCCGTAGAAATAAAATCTTACTGGTTAACTTTAATATAATGAAGGCAAAAAGGAAGCTTTGTTTGAGGTAGACGTTAATAAAACTTTACGATTTCGAAGGCAATCAGGCACAGGTCAGTTTTCTTCAGAAGTAAAATACTTTTGATTTTGTCTAATTTAAAATTTCACACTGACATGTTTTCCTTCGACTTGATACTTTAATAAGTTACGAACACAATATTACCCAATTTAACAGAACATTTGAAAAGATATCTTTAATAAATATTCCAAAAAATCATTTGCGGATTTTCTAGGGAACTTTGATTTAATGAAGACAGAATCATTTAACACTAAAATGGAATTATTTTGTTTATAGCTGCTTACTATATATTGTAGAAAACTTTTTAATTTCGATAGTCACTGAGAAGTGATGTAAACTCAATAAATTCATTCTGAAAAATTTCAACAAAATTTGCATACAAAGCTGCGGAGCATTATTTTTTAATTTAGTTTATCACATATGTTATACGTGGAACATTTTCCCTGCAGTAGTGGTTCGCGAAACTATTGCTGACGGTCCGAAACCTATGAAGATATGGACGGAACAAAAGAAGAAAAGATGAAGTAGATCCCTCTCGCCTACGGCCGCTAACTAACTAACTCAAGCAACGCCGTATTCCATAAAACGTCATTTTCATTTGTGCCAACTAATTCTACCCAACTACCAACCACTATTAAAGTAATAACAAAAACTATGTTTGGAGATAAAATAAAAAAAAAAAGATTTTAATTTAATATCGTTATCAAATGATATTACAGGCCTGAAGATATGTCAAATGATATAAAACATCAACTAATTTCACGAGTGCTAAACAACCAATATTATTATTCACTACAATTAGATGAGAGTACTCATGTCTCTAATAACACTAGTTTGTTAGCATTTATTGGATTCAAGTTTGAAAGCAAAATTCAAAATGATTTGTTGTTTTGCAATTCACTACGTGCACGTGTTACATCTGATGCCTTATTTAATAGTTTGAGCTATTTTATAACAAAAAGTGAATTACAGTAACAAAGTGTATTGGAATTAGCGCTGATGAAGCTTGCGCGATGCCAGGAAGCATAAATAAATTAATTGCTTTAATTAAATCTGTAGCACCTGCAATTACTTGTAACTATTGCTGCATACAAACTACAGAGGTAAACATTAGCATCAAAGATTATGCCAGCAGATTTGAAAAGAGCATTAAATGAAGTTGTTAAAATTGTCAATTGTTTTAAGGGTCGACCTATAAATTCCCGGATTTTTAAATTTCTTTGCGAGGAGATGGGAAGTCAACATACACAACTTTTATTTCATGCAGAAATACTACATTGGTTGTCGAGGCAAAGCACTTAATCGCCTTCTTGAGTTTTGCGATCGAATATTACTATTTTTAAGGGATACACCGTTTTTGCGATTTTTCATGATCAGTTTAAGCAGCTTACTTATACTTTTACCTATTTAAATGAACTTAATTTGAGCCTATAAGGTGCAACAGAAAATAGGTCCAAATTGAGGATAAAATAGAAGCTATTATAAAGAAATCTGATTTGTGTTCAAAACGGATTCATAACTGGGTATATGAGTAATTTCCAACACTTAACAACTTTACAGAAGCATCAAATCAAAAGCTTTCAGATGAAGAACGTAGGATACCTGTTAAGCGTTTAAAAACTTAAAAACGTTTAAATAAACTTAAAATATGTTTAAAATGAGCTTTAAAATTATTTCCCTTAGCCTGATCCTAGCAACAACTGGTTTAGCGATCCATTCAACACAGAAATGATGCTAAACATTTATCTACATTCGAAGAAGGTAGTTTCATTCAGTAAATCATATGATACACCTTTAAGACGCCAACATGGAGCAAATTTTTGGTTGAGTTTTCGATCTGATAATTCTGCGCTCTTGAATATGTCACTGAAGCATTTAACACCATTCCTGCCCAACTCGGTTTGCACTAACAGGCAAACCGAGTTGGTTTGCCTGTTCTGTACAGTTTTATGTAAAATCGAAGCAGAGAAATAACGTAAAAATAGACCTCAGAATAAAACTTTACAACATCAAGCCAAACATTCAAGTTCTGGTTTTAAGGAAGCAGCATCACCCTTCACATAATAAAAGTAGTATTTAAAATTTTATGAAACCTAATAAAAACTGAAAGTAATGTATTTGAACAGAGATATTTAAGACATTTTTATTTGTTAATTAATTTAAGTTTTCATTTCTTTGGTTTAAGAAAAATTTCTGAGTGAATTTATTATGATAAAATAACCCTTAAGATAAGAAAGCATAAAATATTAACACCCTAATTATATGTTTCGCTTAACTGCAGCAAGATACTTTAACTAATGTTATAATTTGCAAGGCATATTTCGTGTTCTATTTAAATACTTCCTTTTTATATGCACCTACAACATTGTAATTAAATTGCACAAAGACTGAGTGACTGGTATCAAACAATTTAATTTTTAGGTGAAATATTTCCGTATGGGTTCTCAAAAAATAATTGCTCAAAAGATCGTCTCCGAGTTACCATAAGTTTAAGAACTACTGCCGTATAGGATTAATGCCTAATTAACAGTATCTGGGCAGTAGGCAAAGTAATCTTTCAGACCCCCAATGTAGCAGCTTCTTAAAATAACCGCTAAATATCTTAAATTGTTCAACTTAAACTCTAAAAATCCATGTTGCGAGGACGAGAAATCAATCTTGGCTTCTGTGTACTGTAAAATCTACTTTATTTATTTGAGAAGAAAAGAAAAGAACTTTAATTAATTATCTGGTGCTCACATAATTATTTATAAGTACTTCACTATTTACATCTAAAGCTTCGTTTAGCTAAATGCTCAGAACGCCGCCTTAGCATATCCACCGCTTCTCGAATTCCATCAGGCCATCTCTTTTCTCTTGGCTGTTTACTCTATTTTTGTTGCCAGGTTCACTCAAAGTTCTGTGCTCATTTTGATTTCTTCTGAAGTCTCAACCAACTCCCCAACACGATAAGTATGTTGTTTTCGGTACTCGGGTTTAGAGTTATTGGTGTTGTACAAGTCTCTCCACTATTGGTCCGTTTGGAGTTCTCAGGATAAAAGAGCATACCTTCTTTTGTATACCGGCAAGTACTTCAGTAATAACCCCTAGTTTCCACACGTTTCGAGAATGTCTGTGTCTTTGATCAACATTAAAGAGTCTTTTGCTATGGCAGATGGTCTTTCATCATTTTTAACAGCTTGTTGTGTTGATCTAAGCCCCATTAGATCCTGATGTTTCCATAGCCTCCAAAATCACTCCATCTGTATCTGCTATTAAGTTCTTCTTTTGTAAATGGTTGCTTTCTTATTTTGTCTGGTGGAATGGCGATTGGTCTGCGTCCGATGAAGAAATATCCTGGACACAAAAAGCCTGCATCCTCTACATCTCTATATATGTAAATGAGTGGTTTTGAATTGAGTATGATATCAGCTTTTGTTAACATTGTTTCAAATTCCTGATATGTGAAAAAAACGTTTCTTGACTCTGTGAATCTACAGGTTCGTTCATAGAAGCCTCTCCATCGTGCCGCTTGTTCGACTATAAAATTCCAATTTATGTTCATCTTGCCAAAGTACTTCAATTCTTAAGGATTTTTAATTGAATGCCATATTTTCTTGAGATATTTCTCAGCTCGTTTGAAAGTCAGGACATTATTTGTGTCTTACATATTCCACGTCTTGAAACAAATCTTCTAAAGTCTTTAAAATTGAGATGTCATTAAATTTGATATGATCCTAACATGGAAAGATTGGACTTTGCACCGAAAATAACTCTGGTCATTCAACAAGGTTTCAATTCGTAATCCTTTCCTAATTCTTTATTTGACCAAGAAACTCCACAGAATTCCAATCTTCTTAGTCTAAGGCAGTCTGCAGAATGACCTGTTCTATATACGCAACACTATTCTACTACTTGAATAATTTAAATCGTAATATAATTAATTATTAGTGAGGTAATAATATAGTCGCAACATAATTTGATGTTTACGTAACTATTAAGATTTTCTGAGTGGCTTCAAAATTTAATGTCTTTTTGTACTTATTACTTCCTTGTACGAAGTAAAGGAAGTATTGTAATCATGAAAAATTTCGGGTTTCGTGCTTCAGCGAAAATATCCATTTTGACCTCTCTCGATTCCATTTGAACGATGTTTTTGCGCTACGTCTGTACGTACGGACAGAATAAAAAACTCTTTTTCTCCAAATGGTTAGTGAAATGGATTCAAAAGAGATTTTTTGTGACGTCTGTACGTACGTACGTACGTATGTATCTCGCATAATTCAAAAACGAGTATCCCCAGAAAGTTGAAATTTTGTATATGGGAGTGCTATAACATACAGATGTTCACCTTCCTTTTTGGTTGTAATCGAAAGCATCAAACGTACATAAATTTATATATATGTGGTAGGGGAGTTCAAGATGAATATCCTAGCGTCAATAACAAGTCCAACGTTTTCCACACCACAGACGTTTAATGAAAATAACAGAGAAGGTTACATGTAGAATCGAATGACGGTGCCGTTGTATACAAACAAAACTCCGCATCCTCACTCTTTTACATATTTTGAATTACTGCTTGGCGCCTACTTGCACTCGCTGCCACTTATGCAGTCAAGTTACCACCTCCTTGTGGAAACATACAGTTCTATATTTACCACCTTCACGTGTAGACCTACGTCTTACCACCTTCTCGTGCATCTATCTGTCTATCTGTCACCCTTTTTCACCTCACTATCACTGCAGGCGCATAGGTGAGGCCCTCTGGTGGCTGTGTAGAATTAACTGTTACCACACACACACACACATATATATATTGTTTATATTGTTGCGAGCGTACGGGTTCGTAACAGATTGAATGCACAAGTCCGATAAAAAGTTAATAAAATTTATTCTTATCACATGAAATAAAACAAAATGCTGAAATTTTTCCTCCCGGATATTCGTACAATATCACATTTTCACGCAATATAATCAGTAGCTATATTTTGAACTAGTAAATCATTAAACAGAACGCATTACAAAGCGCAGGGAACGCTAATCCAATCTCACTGCGAATTCGCTACAATCAACGAACAACAGTTATCTAAACAACAACTGAGCTGAGATATTCTCTGTCTGGCTTTTATATAGCTTTTTAAATCGGCCGCACGAGAGAGTTCTAGCTATTTCTGGAAAGCAAAAAGCGTAGTTAACAAAAGAAGTTAACATTGTAGTTAATTACATTTATTCAAATTAAATACCAGTTACGGAGATGATTTTTTTAAATGCTAAATGCATATGCTCTTGTATTTTTGCTTTTCTGGCGTTGCTTTCTCTTAAAATTCGCCCCGCGCTGCCTTTCACGAGAAAATAAAACGATTTTAATTGTAATTCTACTGAAAATAGCCAAGTAAATACAAAATCCGTAACAATATATATATATTTATATATATATACACTAATCTGTTATCCGGGTCGATGAGCTAAGTTTTTTATTCATATATATTGGTAAATTGTGCATGTTTTGCTTTAAAAGTGATTGAATTATGTGTTTTTCTTATGTTCTAGTTTACGTTTTTATGCCTTTATTTAATCTGCATGCAATAGTTATAGAATTATCAACAATTAAAAGTTTTCTTTTTAAGTTTCCTTGTAAGATTCTCACTAGTGTAATTTTCAGTTACTGTAGAAAGTGACGAATCTTAAGTTAGCGAATAATCGCTTAAGTTCATGTGACAAGAAACAACAAGATGGAAGGGTAACTAACCCTTTATTATTTCAAGAAGATTTAACAAAACTCCGTCTTGGAGTGTACAATGAAAGCTGACACTTGGGCTTGAACTTAAGAGACTAAGAATTAAATTAAAACTAAGATTAACTAAATATAGCCGAAGCTATCAAGATTCTAACCGAGTTGCCCCCTTAACTTTATTTGACTACGAAGCTTATCAAGGGTTTGAGTACGGCCGAGCGTAAAAATAGCTTTGAGAGAGAGAGCGGCCAAAAAGGCAGACGCGCGTAGTTCAGAAACTCTGTTTCTCTCTCTGTCTCAGTAAGTAACTTCGTGGTTTAAATACCGCTCCTCCTCATTAAGTATTCAGAAATATTCCAAAACTACGCTCTGGTCGGAAGTAGTAAGTTAAAGTTAAGAATTTGACAGGAAAGGAACTTTAACTTAAAATTTAACTGTTAATAAAATTAACATAATCGTTACACCCTAATGTGACAAAATTATATTTTAAAAAATATTACACACTAGTACATCTCAAAGGAGTATCACTGAACAATATTAAAAGAGAAAAATTCAGTATTATTTTAATTTATTGTTCAAATACCCCCATCGGGTAAAACAATAAAAATTGTTTTTCGCCTTGAAAAATGTAAAAAAGTTCCAAAACTTTTAAATCAAACATCTCGATTAAGTTTTATATTTCGAGATCAAACTTTTCGGATTTTCGTTTTTTAGCATGAGAATTATTTTTTTCTAAATACAAATAACAAGCCCAGGTGAAAAGTTAGATTTCTTAATTTTTACAAATTAAATTTTCTATCTTAAAAATATCAGAACATAGATAATTGCCTGTTTGGGACATTTTTATAGTTTGAAATACATCTACGACCAATGGTTGAGGAAATAAAGGCCACATAAGTACTTTTATGAGCAACATATACGTATATATGTATAATATACATGTTGTACAGCTTATACAGGAGCATACAAATGTCATTTTATCTCTATCCTGACATTCAATTCATGGATGTATTATGAAGTAAAAACACATCACAGCTTTAGTCGCATTGTCTATTTTCTATTTCGTCATTGAGTTCGCAGAGTCGATTCTGTACGACACCCAGTTTGAATCCAATTATATTGTTTAATTTTCTCCATCTGTGTTTTGTCAACCGAAGATTGATACACTACGTAGCACTCCTTCTCTATAATAATAAAAAACAGACATTTATTGATAAAAACATTCAGCAGCTTTTTTTTTACTTTTCAAGTAGCAAGATTTACTCTTACATTTCCAAACCTGCTTAACAGTCCTTACACTTCGTGGCATAGAATACTGTATTTTTTCCTTTGGAATCCAGCATTTTCTGTAGCGTCATAATTATAAGGAAAGGTCTGAAAAATAAACTATTTAGAATGCAGTTCTTAATGAAGATACTAATGCTATCGTTTTTCATTAGTAAGTAATTCACTTTATGTTATATATGTATACAGCCTTAGCTATCTGAACAAATTCGAAGCTATTTAAGTTCGGATAGTCGATTTTAATATAAAAAATGATGATTATTTCAAATGAACTATTTATTATTGTTTACTTTTTATTACTTTTAATTGCATAGGAAATTATTTTTAAGAACTAAAAGTTTTATTTTAACAATAAATTATATTTTAAGCAAAACGAACAGAAAATATTATCCATAAGTTTATCGTTTCTCCGAATTTGGTTTTGCTTTTTCCGATTTCATTGAAACATCTCTAGACAGTGGGGGAAGATTTCGAAAAGCATTCTTTGGGAGACATTTCTTAGAAAAATATGCAAATAAATATTACAAGGACGATAAGCAAAATTTAGAATTTTTTTAATGCTTTTTATGATTTAAGTTCGTAATCTTATAAATCAATTCCTGGTGTTTCCCTACAAAGTCTTCATCATTTTTATTTTATTATTTTTTATTTTATTAAATATGAAATACAAAACAGTGCGCTTCCTAAATAAGCCTATGCTTGGCCCTAAGTATTCGTGAAGTAAATACGGTTGACGAAAGATAAAGCTGTTAAAGTTTAAATTCTGTGATTAAGGAAGTGAAATAAAGCAATAATTAGCAAAAGCTACCAAAAGTGCTCTCTCTAAACTGAAGAAATTTGCCCTTATTTATGATTTATTATAAAAAAATGAGTAAATGAGGAAAAGTAAATATAACTCATTATGGTTGAAATTGAAGAAACCTTATAACTTGACTTGTATTTAATCTATGCTTTGTGATTTACTGTTTCGTTTTCATTAAATTGTGATACTAATTTGAGACAAACTATACCTGTTGTGTAATTTGAAGAAAAAGGCTAGAGGGCGCTGTTGCTCGCTTAGTTGTAAGAGAATAAAGTTTGTTCATGTTGAAGGCGGCGGCCTAAGAATACGCTCTGTATATAGTAATTAAAATATTGTTTAAAATGTAAAAGTGTTAAAATTAGTAAACCCACTGAACCACCATCATCTGATTTGGAGATGCACAAAATTATTAGATGGTGCATCGGCGTAAGGAATTAAGGCTTTGTGAAGATTTTAGGTGTTCGATCCAAGTGTTTCGATTTCAATGGATATTTCATATTCAAGTGACAATGGAATTCCAAATAAAGGTAGGGAAATCTTAAATTAATTATTTAGTGATTATTTGTAGTACATTAGTAAGTATTTATTATTGCTGTCGTGGGTGTATTTAAATTAAATAAAAATGGAAGAGAAGTTAGATAGATTGAAACGTAAACGTTCCACATTGAGATCGTCTGTTACTAGGTTAATTAAAGTGATTGAAGATAAATTAAAAATTGAAGGAGAGGAAAATTCGATTAAAGAATTACGAGAATTCTTTGAATTATTAACCGAAAAAAAAAATAATTTGAGAACGCTTGATGATGAAATACAAGAGTTAATTGATGTTAACTTAATTGAAGAAGATTGTAGTATAAGCGAAGGATACAATGACAAATGTATAATTGCTTGTAGTCAAATTAAGCAGTTTCTAGGTGCGATTACCGCAGTACCGCCAGCGAGGAATCCCCAAAGTTCTGATTTAAACCAGTCTAGTGGTAATGGAATTTTGCATGTAAGTTCCAGTTCTAGTGGGAGTAGTACGCTGAAATTACCAAAATTAATGATTGATAAATTTTGGGGAGACCCAAACAATGGAATGAATTTTGGAATAGTTTCGAAAATTCGATACATAAAAACGAAACGCTTTCAAAAATACAAAAATTTGTATACTTAAAAACATTCTTAACGGGACAAGCTTCGAATGTTGTGTCCAGGCTTTGAGTTAACAGAAAGTAATTATGATAGTTGTGTAGCATTACTAAAGGACAGATATGGTCGAAAAGACCTGATCATTAATTCATTCATGAATAAAATTCTCAATTTAGAAGCCGTTAAAAATTCTGCTAACGTAAAGGCTTTACGTAAATTACTCGTATATGACGAATTAGAAGTTTCGATTCGTAATTTGGAAACTTTAGAAGTAACTTCTGGCTCATATGGACATTTATTAATTCCAATATTATTAAAATTAATTCCGGACGATTTAGTTTTGGAATTTAATCGGCAAAGAGGATCGAAAGATAAAGTTGAAGTTTCGGAATTAACACAATTTATTAAAACGGAAATAGAATGCAGGGAAGTTTCAAATCTAGTATTAAGCGAAAGGAAAAATCCTGTGCCTCCGCGAGTCGATCAATCAAAATATGAAACTAGAAAATATGTAAAAAATACACCCACGGCTGCATTTCATACTGCAGTTAACCGAAAATGCATCTTTTGTGATAATTTGCACGAGTCATTTAAATGCGAAGTGAATGTTTCTGATAAATTTAAAGAAACTAAGATCCGAAAACCGCTGCTTTTCTTGTTTTAAAAAAATTCCATACATCAAAAAGGTGCAGAAATAAAACTAAATGTAATAAATGTGGCGGTATGTATCACAATGAATCGATTTGTACTAATAAATCCCTTGTAAAAAAAAAACAAAAATCGGAACAAGGTTATTCCGAAAATGCAAACTGAATCTCTGACTTTGAATTCTGAGGAAAGAAATAAAGTTCAAAACTTAAAATTGATTGCTTCTGTTCCTCAAGGTGATAATAATAATGACTGTAATGCCAGGGAAATATTATTACAAACTTGTACAGTTTATGCTTGTTCTAAGTATAAATCAAAATTAACTAGATTAATTCTTGATCAAGGCAGTCACAGATCCTTTATAACGAAAAAATTGGCCGACCATTTAAAACTTACTCCAATCCGTTATGAAAGACTTTCTGTTTATTCATTTGGTGCGACGAAGGCAATGAATCATTCCTATCCGGTCGTTGAAATCGAAATTCAGAATTGGAAACAAAATAATAAAATAAAAATTGAATGTTTGATCTCGGATGTTATTTCCTCGGCGTCCATCAGTGTGCCTAGTAAACAAATTGCAGACTTCATGGAGCATATGGGGTTGCAGATCGCCGATTGCGCAAGAAAAAATAACATAGATGTTGAGATATTAATTGGAGGGATGGATGAATTCTGGAATGTAGTTTATTCTGAAAGAATTAAAATATCTGAAGGGTTGTACGCAGTCAGTTCTGTGTTTGGTTGGGTTGCCGCAGGAATCGAGAAAAATGAAACAAACAAAAATTGTTCTGAAAATTTAGCGGTAATGACAAACACTGTTGTGTTGAAAGATTTAAGAGGTTTTTGGGAATTAGAACATATGGGAATTAAATGATTCTGATGATTATTCCGATATTGACTGCGAAATAGTAGACCAGTTTGAAAGAAATTTGCAGTTTAAAAACAGGAAGATATGAAGGCAAATTTAATCTGGAAATACAGTCCGAATAATTTAGGAAATAATTTTGAGGTAGCTAAGAAACGATTCGCAAACCTTCACAATAAACTAAGTAAAACTCCGGAGATTTTTCGGGAATATAAAAATATAATTGAGAACCAGATATTAGAAAGGAATTGTGGAGGAATGTCCAAATAATGATACAAATTTGGGATATTTTATGCCGCACCGAGCAGTGATACGACCTAGTGAAAACTACTAAGGTAAGAATTGTGTACGATGCTAGCTCAAGGACAGAGGACACGAATTCGTTAAATGACTGCCTTGAATCGGGACCTAATCTAAATCCAAATATACTAGACATTATGTTAAATTTTCGTAAGTTTAAGATAGCGTTTTGTGGAGACGTTGAAAAAAAAAGCCTTTTTGATGATAGGAATTGCTGAAGGTGATAGAAAATTTCTAAAATTTCTTTGGTTTAATGAAAATAATGACTCCTTTAAGATTATGCAAATGTGTCGCGTAGCTTTCGGTTTGACTATATCTCCTTTCATTTTGGCCGCCACTATAAAATATCACATTCGAAAATATAAAGATAAAATGCCGGACAGTTTCCAAATGTTAAATTCTTCTGTCTATGTCGATGACCTATATTTTGGAGCAGGAACGGTTGAAGATGCATATCGGTTATCTGTAGATGCGGTTAATATATTTAAGGATGCTGGGATGAATTTCAGAAAATTAAGAACTAATTCTAAAGCATTAAACGATTTATGGGTCTCAGATGGGATTAAGGAATCAGACAACAAATTAACTAGTGAATCGAATTTCTTAGGCATGATTTGGAATTCCATTGAAGACGATATAAAGTTAAATTTAAAAAATTTAATTGACTTTTCTACTGAAAACGATTTTGCTACAAAAAGGAAACTTTTGCAAAGCATCGCCCAAATATACGATCCATTTGGATTTATTGCACCCTTTGTTATTCGGGCGAAAATTATTATGCAAGAAATCTGGTGTTCAGGTTCTGACTGGGATGAGGTCCTTCCTGCAGAGATTAAGGACAAATTCAACATTTGGCGGGAGGAACTTAATAATTTAACTGAAATATCGATACAGAGAAATTTCTTTGATGACGATCCAATGAATATAAGCCTTCACCTATTTTCGGACGCTAGTCCTAAAGCATATGGGGCCATCTCATATTTCAGATATTGTACGAGTGATTCTAAAATTAAAACTTCCTTTATCATGTCGAAATGCAGAGTTGCACCTTTAAGAGCATTTAAGAGCAATCACGCTTCCTCGTTTAGAGTTAATGGGAGCACTCATGGCTGCTCGAATGTATAAATATTTGAAAAAAATTGTTTGGTGATTTAATTGAGGATGTTTATTTTTGGAGTGATTCCGAAATCGCCATTACTTGGATTAAAGGTTCGCCAAATAATTGGAAACCATTTATCGCCAATCGTGTTACAGAAATACAGAGTATATGCAACAAAAAATTGTGGAACCATTGCGAAGGGAAACAAAATCCTTCCGATTTACTAACTCGAGGAATTAGTGCTCAGTCACTAATTAAGAATGATTTGTGGTGGCATGGGCCACACTGGTTACGTTTTCCTATTGAAAACTTTCCAAAACAAAAGAAATTAAAACCAAATTCAGAATCGTTGGAGTTAAGAAAAAGTATTATTTTGACTGCACCTGTAATTAACAATGAATCCCCAATTTTGCATATAGAAAAATTCAGTTCTTTAGGAAAATTACTTCGAATTACTGCCTATGTATTTAGATTTATTGGGAGGCTTCGGAAAAGGTCTACAGGGAGTGGACCTTTAAGTGCTTTTGAGATTAAAGCAGCTGAACATTATTGGGTAAAAATTACGCAACGAGAATCGTATCAAACGGAAATAATTAAGTTATCAAATAAAAAATCAATTCTCGATTCTTCCATCTACTCCCTTAATCCAAGGCTTGATGAGGAGGGAATTCTTCGGTTGAAAGGTCGCATTCAATTTGCAGACTGTCACGAGAATTTAAAACATCCTATTCTATTACCCTCAAAATGCAAGTTTACCGAGTTGATCATCATGGACTCGCATGAAAGGGTATTCCATGCTGGAGTTAATTCGACACTAACTCAGATCAGAGACAAATATTGTTGCACCTTTAAGAGCAATCACGCTTCCTCGTTTAGAGTTAATGGGAGCACTCATGGCTGCTCGAATGTATAAATATTTGAAAAAATTGTTTGGTGATTTAATTGAGGATGTTTATTTTTGGAGTGATTCCGAAATCGCCATTACTTGGATTAAGGGTTCGCCAAATAATTGGAAACCATTTATCGCCAATCGTGTTACAGAAATACAGAGTATATGCAACAAAAAATTGTGGAACCATTGCGAAGGGAAACAAAATCCTTCCGATTTACTAAGGGAAGACAGCGTGTTAAGACTATCATCAGAAAATGTGTGATATGCAAACGATATAGTGCACGTCCTGGGGTACAGAATATCGCTCCACTTCCTCCAGACAGAATCCAAGAGTCGCCTCCATTTGCTGTGACCGGGTTGGACTTCGCCGGTCCATTTTTTACGAAAGACAGGCAAGGTTTACATGCTGTTGTTAACGTGTGCGGGGACTCGTGCCTTACATATAGAGATAGTAACTGATCTCAGCACTGAAAGTTTTTTGCTAGCTTTCCGAAGATTTTTAGCTCGCCGAGGACTGTGTACCACCGTGTACTCCGATAATGCCAAGACTTTTAAAAGAGCTGATGAAGAACTAAAACATATTTTTAAAACTTTGAGTGATTCATCTGTGAAAGAATTATTTTCTGCTAGAGGCATAAATTGGAAATTTATTATTGAGAGGGGTCCATGGTGGGGAGGGTTTTGGGAGCGTATGGTACGAACCATAAAATCCAGCTTGCGAAAAATTATTGGTCGATCATCCCTTACTGTGAAAGAGCTTGAAACGGTGCTCATTGAAATCGAGGCAATGATTAATTGTAGACCAATTACCTACGTGTTTACCGATCCCAATGAACCTTCTCCACTAACACCCTCTCATTTTCTGGTTGGTAGACGATTGCTATCTCTGCCTGCTAATAAAATAACATCAAATAATTTGACTGGGTCAAGAAATTCAATTATTAAACGATATAAATACCATCAAGATATTTTAAATCATTTTTGGAAGCGTTGGAGATCAGAGTATCTTTTAATCTGAGATCTGCCAATATTTGTCCTCCACACTCTAACGCATCTCAGTTTAAAATCAACGATATTGTCTTGATTCATGACGACAAACATCCCAGAAATCTTTGGACAATAGGTAAAATTTTGGAATTAATGCCAGGCAGAGATGGTAAAATAAGATCTTGCATAATTAAAACACCTACTGGTACCTTAAAAAGGCCTATACAATTGTTATATAATATGGAACTTAACTAATGTTTGTATTTTGTATTTTTAGGTTTGATTCTCCTGACCTTGCTGATAGGTATATCATTTAATGTTTTGTAAAATTTTTTGTGCTTATAATTATGTATGCATGTTTGTTTATATTTAACCATTTCTCCAGGATTATTGTCGAAATATTAATTGTATATTCTAGAATATATTATTGAAAGATGAACTCTCCACCGAGTTCAGGTGGGGAGTGTTGTGTAATTTCAAGAAAAAGGCTAGAGGGCGCTGTTGCTCGCTTAGTTGTAAGAGAATAAAGTTTGTTCATGTTGAAGGCGGCGGCCTAAGAATACGCTCTGTATATAGTAATTAAAATATTGTTTAAAATGTAAAAGTGTTAAAATTAGTAAACCCACTGAACCACCATCATCTGATTTGGAGATGCACAAAATTATTAGAATACCAAACTACAAATATGGTTAGCAATTTTAGTCTACTCTTTCCATTTTGTCTGGGATTCCCGAAAAGGAGAAGCAATCCTTCAGTCTTAGTGAAATTTAGCTATTGTCATTATGTTTAGTATTTATAAACAAATGCTACGCTTCTGTAATATCAAACTTACGAAAGTGATGAGTGCATTCTTCTTGCAAGATTTCATTTTTTAAGACCGACCTGTATGGAAATTAGACTTTAATCAGAAACTTACTGTCTTGTTTGAGCTCAGACTTAGTATAGCAGTCAGGGTGTTAAAATTAATTAGGTAGATGCTAATTTCAGGAAAGTGTACAGAAAACATAGAGAATCACTTCCTAAAGCAATGATTATCCGAATCATTAGTTGATTAAATTGGTTTCTGCAGAATTCAAGCAATATTAATGGAAAATATTTGAAAATAATGTTAACGTGCGCATGATATTCTTCCAAATCTTCTAATCACTATTTAAGTAGTACTCGATTATTTAATTCATGGATAGCTTATAGTAATAAGTGTCACATTCTCTTCTTCAACCACACATTTCATTCCGTAAGATTTTTCGCTTTCTTATACCATTTTATTCTACTTTGTACCCCCTTTTTTCTGATCAAGGGTTCATATATACAGAGGGAATTCTAATCCAGTAATTTCTTTTTTGCCATCTTGAATGCATTTTGCATTTGTAAAAGCGGTTAAAGGTTCGAAACTCTGATAGTTCATTCTGGTTTCTAATGCCAGCGACTGAATAGGATTAATTGATGAGGTTTTAGTGTTTTTTTTTCTCGAAGTAACTAGAAGCCAGGTTCCTGCAGAAAGCCCTCAAGAAGATATATCTATGGATAGATAGTCAAATCATATGCATTTAAACTCAAACTAAGCGTATTTTAATCGTATCAAATTTTGTTTAGTTTCTGTTTCCATTGGGAAAGAATCAGAACATTGTAAACAACAACTGTGTATATGATAAGGGTACCAGAAAGCTAAAGAATTGATACTTCCTCTTGAAAACGCCGATATTATAGAGACATTCGGCTTTTTTGACGAACGGAAGAAACGAAAGAAATCAATTATGCCCTTGCCGATATTGAATCCCTTATCCTCTAGTCGCTAGCTGAACGTGCTATTACAGTACACCTTGACGGCACACGTGAAGGAGTGCAGTAATTCCATACATTCTGCCTACCTGGGGAGTATTGAGGGGAAGAAAGTGACCCATTCGGACCAAACTTGGGTGGTGATGAATTCTCATCGTCACATTTTAATCCGCCCATTAAAATATCATAATTCCTTTTACTATTAGAGGAATTATTGCAATTAATGAATGTAATCGCAAGCATCGAGTTGCTTGCAATGAAGAGGTCAAAATAATTTCGAGCCATGGATCTCTGTCATAGTTAACGCTTACATCTGCATGCAAATCTTATTACGTAATTTTTAAAAATAAGCGATATGTTATGTTGCTTATATGTTATGTTATGTTGCTCTTTCAGATTCAGGGAATGCTGATTTGCAAGCAGCCATAGATCGCTCGCTTTCTCTTCTCAATGTTTCTTCAGATGTCTGCATTACCCATGGATGTGTGAAAACAGGTGATTTTTACATTTTCTTAGCGGTAGTTTCTTTCGTCTCGTAGCCAAGCGGTAAAGTCGCTGAACACTGGTAGCGCGGTCCGAGGTTCGAATCCCGCGAACGGGCTGGCTGCATGGGCGTTTCCGTGGTTTTCCCCATGTGTAACGTGTATACGAGCCAATTTCCTTTAGAAAGTCCTCCACGAAGGCAACCGTCCTCTTAGGCAGATTGCCCTCGAGGCTTTGCCATAATCACACACACACACTTTCGTCTCGTAGAATCTAATTTAACTGAATTAATTTATTTGAAGCCATTTGTAATAGCACATAATGTCAAACTACTCAGAGTAGATCCCCCTCCCTCCCGACAACAATATTATTTTTTCACTTACTTTGAATAAAAATAATACTTTGAAATTTCTACTTCATTGTGTTTTAATTTAAATATCTCAAGAAATAACATAAAGCAGAAAATAAAAAGCTAATTTTACGTTTTTATTATAACTCTCACTTTTAAATTATTAAATGTAGTCCTATAGATAAAAGTTGAGAAATTATTGATGCATGGACAAGTAGTAATTTAATGGAGGAATGTTTATAAGAAAGAGCAATTTCTGAAATTTTAGGACTAAAATGTTTTATAATATTTTTAATATGTGTAAATTCTGGTTTTAGACACCTGTGGCCGAAAAATTATCAAAGAACGCCAAACATTCAGTTAATGACATGTTGTAAAATTGTTTCATAATTTATTGGGATCTTCTTTCCTTCTGATTTTTACAGTTTATTCACTTTCACAGAAAACTTTAATTACAGATCAAATTTTAATTCATACAATCCATTAAAGAATATAGATACTTTTTAGCCATAAATTTGACTTTTAAATCAGCTCTTCTTTAAGTTATAAAATATAAATTAAGCTTTGACTAGCAACTAACAGAAAACAGTTTTGTTTGAAACGTTATAGATGACTGGTTTTGGGATTTACAGATTTAGTGCAATTTTTATCGATGGGTGTAAGTCGGATTTCAATCAAAAGTCTTTTACCATAATCAGAAACCTTCTTTTGTTCATTACAAAAATACTTACTCTTAAAAGTAATGGATATGTGACGATACCGTGCAATCTGAGCTCCAGTTTACCTGTAAGCACATAATGAAGTGAATTACACGCAGATTCGTGTGGCACTTACAAGAAGATCTGCTTTGATTTTAATTACTGTTATTAGTATTATCTTCTGCAGATTTCTCCACTTTGTTTAAATGTTGTGATAATTGAAAAAAATAAAGAATATATCAATTTATATTTTGTTGATCCACTTCGAAAAAATAATTCAAAATAGCTTATAAAAAGAATAATAGTTAAATTTAGTGATTCAAGTGTATTATCTCCCATATTTTAAATAAATCATTTTCTTATTGAAATAATGCAAAATTAAATAAGCGTTGATCGAAATTCACTTATTATTTTAAATAGACATCATCTTAGCAGAGAGCTTGACGTTTTATTAGTTTTGAGTGAAACGAACCATAAAACTCTTTGATTCTAAAGCTCATTCTTGATTTGATAATAAAAGATTTAGAAAAGAGCTAAAATGGTTTCATTCTTATTTTCTTATTCTTACCTTGCTCTTATACAATTACTGTAATAACTTATCTTTCTTTTTAACGCCTCTTTTTCTTTTCTTTCTGCTTCAAAGAGAAAGCGAAATGCAGGAAAATGTCAGTGAGTGAGAGCATTCTTATTACGTATAATCATCAATAATAAAATAAAATCATCAATAATATAATAAAATCAGCATTCTATTACGTATAGCTATAAATGAATTAGAAAAATTTGGGATTAGCAAAGTTGAATTTGCAAAGAACTGAAAGCAATATTGTTAACTGAAATCATTACAAACTTATTTCTTTGGGGGTCTTAGAGTCTGATGGAACAGAGATGATGACAAATAATGGAAAATGTTTTTATGTACTGCAAAAGGCAAACAGATAAAACTTCTTGTTTATACAGGAAATTATTTTGTGTATCGTAAAATGGAAGAATTAGAGTTACTATCTATTATTTCTCTTGTGGGGGAGAATTATAAAACAGATTTATACGAGCATTGCTCTTACATAGGTATTTAGAAAAAAAATCGAACTTTTTCTGAAATGACATACCTGTTTTTTTCCACATTGCGATTTTACTATTCATCTTATTGCAAAATGCCAAGGTGCAAAAATACCAAACATCATCACACGAGTAGTTCTTAAAAAATTAACTCTCAAAGTATTAGCTCCTGACAGTTAATTGAATTTAGTATATATTTATTAATATCTCTTTTTTCATTAAACTGGCTTTCTTCTTTCACAATTAAGAATTTAGGTTCAATCTAAATAAAATTTGCAGCTATTTGATTTATTTTTTAAATTTGTAATTTTTATAAATTTTTCGAAAACATTTTTGAATTATAATTCATAAAACGTTTACCATCACCGTAAAGTAGATGTGTTTCTAAGCACATCTGCAAAAAGTTAGAGATTTTAATCAAAATTTCTAAAAATATACATGAACTGATATATTGGCATATTTGCTCAAAGCGATAGACGCCAAATATGCTTTACGCACTTTGTTAAAATTATTTGAAAGAATGAACGATGCACCCTTCTTTTTCCGCTCATGCACAATGGAAAAAGGGAAAGGAAAATAAGTTAGTATAAATTAAGAATTTTGCCAAGTGAATTATTCTTGGCGCAAACTGAAAAAAATGCGACAAGCTAAATTTTGAAATTTGTAAGTTTCTTAGCAAATTTTATAAAATCTATTATTTGGTCATAATTTGAGTCGTAGAATTGAAATATTGAAAAAGATCAGTACTTCGTTTCAGAAAAAGTCCGATTTTGTGTCAAAATACCTACGTTAGAGCAATGCTAATTATAAATCTAATATATATCATAAGTCTCGCTTTCGACACTTGAAAACGGATGCTGAATTTCATCCATCTACCCAGTAGAGCAGGAGATATAGAACTTTCTGCAGAGTGTACATATCAGGACATAAAAGCATAAAATTATAATAAACCCATAAACCCTACTAATAGGTCCCTGGGACTCTTAACACATTTACTTCAATTCTCTTTTAATGGATTTTATGCTCAGCACCTACCTTCTGTTTATCCTAATGCTGGTCACTATCGGAATGATTTGATTCCTTTAGTGTTCTAGGGATTCAGCGGCGAGGGTTAAGTCTCTCCTTTCACAATCGTTCTTTATTTCTCTAGTGCTTATTCTCATCCGCGTTCCATAAAAGTTTAGACAGGTAATTAAAGAAGTATGACTACTTATTCTCATTTATCAAAAATATACCTAAGTGATTGAAATTTTGATATGTGGGTTCATTCACGTTCCATATAAGTTTTGGTAGGCGATTATAGAAGTATGACTATTCTCATTTATCAAAAATATACCGAAGTGATTCAAATTTTGATATGTGGGTTATGTCAGCTATGAAAGAGTTATTGACTTCGTCGTTAGATAAATAATTATGACTATCGCCCAAGCTGTACTAGAAATGAAATTACAAACTATATACAGCTTCTGCTAAACAGCCATGTCTACATAACTACATAACAAAAAGAACGTTTTCTACAGGATGAACGCACATCGTAAAAAATGTTGTATGTAATGTATGACCACGGAAAATGTTCAGTTTCATAATTCGGATGCTGCAATTAAGCAGGTGATAGCATCGACTCGGTTAATTCTCTTTATAATGCTGTGTCATTATACATATGTGTGTGTATATGCGTGATCTATCTATCTATCTATCTATCTATATATATATATATATATAATGAAAGAAAACTAATAACTTTAATTCAGAAATAGTCGTTTTAATTTCTCATTTTAATTTGGATACGTCCCAATTTTGTCTTAAAACTACTAATTATATGAATATTAAGTTCATCAAGTGAAAATTAATTCACATTACGCCAGTATTTAAGAGTAGTATTGCGGCTACTTTCATCCAGTCGTTAATCACAGTTTAAAACTTAGACAAAGGAACAGACTCTACAAATACCCCTGTGCTGAAATGCACATTTATATTCCTGCGTTCCTCTCTCTGTGATTGCACATGTCATTCTTCTTTCTATGTCGTTCGTTGTCTTAAAATGTGATTAGTTCTGTAAAATTGTGGGATGCATCCATAATGATGTGAAAAGAAAACTACACGCCCTAAAAAAATTAGTTAATGTGTTGAATCGACGCCAAATCTGCAAGTTATTATTCTCCGTTATGTCATCTTAGGTATCCACGCAGCTGTTTTCTAATTTCAAGTTATCCACAGAATATATGTATGTGTGCGTGTGTATTGCTGATATTGCTTTGGAATAACTTCGTTTTCTTTGGCAGGCACAAAAGATCCATAAAAATGACATTCGATTCCTTGGTACATAACAAACATTGATCGCTCCCGCATCTCGGCGTTCCAGTCAACTTCTGCTGTTGCTACGATCTGTTAGGGTCATAACGATGCTTCCCTCATTTATAATCATCACTTGTGTCTCATCACGTCTTCACCGCTTAAAGAGAATTTGGAAATTTTTTCAAATTAGTCTTCGAACCTTTTTCTACAGCAGTTATTGCCACTGTTATGAATCACGGGTTGGGGAGGATGGCTTTGTACGCCTATTCATAAGTAACAGGCTTTAGTAATAGGCATTTACTACTTCTTCATCAGCTTCTGTAGCATCAATAGGTAGCTGGTTTCTACTTGAATTTAAGTAACCTTCATCACTCCTCCTTTTCAACAATGTGAAGATGGAAATTGAAATGCAAATTTCCGACACCATGAAATAAGTATTTGTTTTTATCCATATTCAATTAAAGATGAAAGATATCATTCTTTGCATGGACAGTAAAATATGTGTTAATGTTGTTCATAGCAGCTCTGTTAAGAATGTGTAACAAGAAAAGGAACAGTTTTTTGGGGGAGGGGATGGGGTTCTACATGTACATAATATATAATAAATGTATAAAATCTGCAATTAATTTTGAGCTTATTATGGACTTTTTTGTTACTCAAAAATGTAAACTATAATATTTTCTGCAGTAAGCGGCTTTTTTTAAAAAAATTGTAAATGCAAGGAAGTTTGCTTTAAGTAATGTGATTTGAATAATATCGTTTTTCCGTAATTAATCATTTCCATAAAATTTATTAAAATATAAATTTATCTTTATTTAGACTACGGACCTAGTGATAAAGCTACGAATCTCTTTTCTGCTTCTAGGCATTTCTTGATGGAATTTTTTCAAATATTTTGTTAGTCAAATTTCAATCAAGCAATTTTCTACGAGTTTGGATAAACAAGCTTTCAGATATTAGATATACACATGTAATCTGGTCCTAAAATAGAATCACATCGTTAAGCTCAGGTTCGAATGCCGCAGAAGGCACAAATGTTTGTGAATGTGCGCTTTTCGGCATGGAGACACTTAAAATACATCGAGAATTAAATCTCTTTTAGAGGCTTGTAGTTGGGAAACAGAGGGTTAAGAGAGATTTCTTCCCTAGGATGTTATCGATCACAACTGGCATGGAGGTAGGCAGAATTCGTTCCATCACCTACAAAATGCCTAAGGCTTCAACGATAACTACTACTCTTTCTTTTTTTCATGCCATGAGGAATATAGTGCACTTGATCTGATTCAGATCAGGAGAATGTTCAAGGTTCGAGATTCAATGATTAATGGAACATTAAAAGCAAGTGTCCAAATAATTGTTTTAGTGTTAATAATAATTCTTCCTTTATCTCCCAGCTGCTGATATCTTATCCAGCTTAGACGAAACTGTGGATCCTTGCGATGACTTTCACCAATTTGCCTGTGGCGGCTGGTTGAAAACACATCTCGTTTCTGACAAATCTGATATCTTCTCCTTACTTCAAGATGTCCTCAACCGCAAGTTCTTAAGTAAGTACACATATATTAAAATTTTGAAAAAAAGTTAAATTATTCATAATTGACTAACACTACAGAGGTTTCCTGCATACTGATCTTTTAAGAAACGGAAATTTTATCTTACCTCAGAAGTAATCCTTGCAAACATTTTTGCCATCGTACGTTTTGCCATCGTTCTGGCAATTTCAAATAGTTGTAGAGAACCATTTCTATGGTATTAACTGAAATTCGTCGTTCGAGGAGAACTTCTAAAGTCAACTGAAACTTTTCACTGGAAGCGAACCTCTCGCAAAGCAACGCCTCTTTTATTGCATCCACTAGAATCACTCACTTCAAGATCCGTCAAATACAGATGAGGTTGCTGTAAATCGCAAAGCACTGATATGGGACGTTTAAGTGATAAATAAATAGAACACAAAAAATGGATAGGTAATGATTTATTTTACTCCGAGAAGAAGTAAATAAAGCAATCTGAATACGTAGAATAGTAAAAAATATGCAAAGCTAGTTCTTTTTAGCTCAGTCTTATTTTAAAGTTGATTTTACTTTCTAAACTATTTCATTTTCTTCTTTCACATATTTATAAAATTGGAAGCAAGTAATTTAAAAATTATAATGGTAAATCAAAATTGCTTCAGTTGTTTCTCCCTGACAACCTTTTCTTTCATCTGACCGTTGAGTTAATAGTAGGAAAAATACTCACTCCACATTTGTGTAATGGGCTAGAAGGGGAAATAACGTATTGCCATAACCTTTCTCTTTCTTTTTTCTGTTTCATAGTTGCTTCGTGGTTATGGCTCGTAATTTTTCTTCTAAATAGTCTTAAAGATATACAGACTGATTGAACAGAATCTCAGTGCTGCCAATATCGATGTTTCTTACTTGTAAATATGCAATAGAACGTTCTAAATCCATTAAATGTTTGGAATGAATGGGGCTAGTGCCATAAACTATTCTACAGCAGTGTTTAATAAAATGATACGATAGTTTCCGGAAGTTTTAACTTTAGTGCTACTTTCGAAATCAAGCTCTAAGAGATTCAAGATTCGTTTTCTTGTCATTCCAATACAATCGGATTTTTTTCTTTGAATCATATTTTTTTTTGTCTCCTTTCAATACAAACTGTGAATGCAGGAAACAAAAATAAACTTGTTTTATTGGATCATCAAAAAAAAATTAGCTAGTGTTCTTTCTTCGTAGCGAATTCGGCAATGGGTAAATGCTAAGCACTTGAATATCTTGACGGCTACTGAGTTAACATCGACAGTCAAAAAATCAGAGACTATTGACAGATTGATATGCAAAACATATGCTGGACATCCTATGCTTTCAATACCTCTTTCCGTTTCAGAGTTCAATCCCGAAAAACACCTTTTTTTTTCTAGACCGAACAAATAGTAACACGGGACTGTCCCTTAATAATGTTACATTTCCGTATGTACGGGACATATGACAAACCTAAATATACAGTATATAGTAAATAAAATATACAGTATATTTTAAGTGTAATGCTCTTTTTCTCTTCTGTTTCATACTTTTCGCTGTTGCTATTCCTTTGAGTTTTTTCCAATTGTTTTCAATCCATGCTAAGAAAATAATCGGTTTTGTAAATTACGTCTGAAGCGTACGAGTGTTTTGTGCAATCTTCATTTTTTTCTTAAAGGTAAATTTCAAAGTATCATTTTCAAATTTATGTAAGTCTAACATAATCATAAATCTTCTGTTCGTGCTTCCAAAATTATTCATAAATTCAAATTGTCACTTTTTTAACATGTTATAAGACATATACCTATATATGGTTTTCTGCTAATAAGCTAGGAACGCTGTGACTTTTTTCGGCTCTGCACAATGAAAAGGAAAAAGAAATAGGTTGTCATATATCAAGAAGTTCGCCAAGTGAATTTCTTGGCGCAAACTGAAAAAAATGCGCAAAGTTAAATTTTTAAATTTCTCCTTAAATTTAGCATCAAATTTTACAAAATGTAATACCTAAGAATAATTTGAGTGGTAGAATCGAAATATGTAAAAACATCGGCATGCCATTTCAGAAAAAGTCATATTTTGTGTTAAAATACCTATATAAGTACAGCGCTATATATAAATCTAATATATATCCTAAGCCGCGCTCTCGAGACATGAAAATCTCAATTTGAATTTCGTCAATCGGCACAGTAGAAAGGGAGATATAGAACTGTGATAAAGCTTCTTCAGTTGGTGAACTGAATTTTCTTGAGGCTTTTCCCATTCACAAATATTCAACTTCTTTAGCTAATGATACGAAATAAAATATCTAATCTTTCCTGACGCTTTTATAAATCGACTGTCTTAGTTTTTCACATTTGCTTAACAAATACTTAAATAAAAATGCGATGCATTCGTGTTCGCTTTGTTCCACGTATTGCTTTCGATATAAATACGTTCGCCATCCGTCTCTTTTGCAAAACTATTTTTTTCTTCTGAAGAAGGACCTGTTGGACTTTTCAAAACATAAAAAGATTAGATTATAGACTTTTATAACATCAAATTTACTGCACATTATAAATTATAAGCATTTGAAATTTCCTCGTTTCACAGCGTTTTAGAGGATATTTTTCTTGATTTATGCAATGTTTGTAATCTAGAAGATAAATACACTGGTTATCATAAATTAAGGAAAAATCACTCAAAAATAAGGCAAATTGTGTAAAATTTGAATATGTTGCCAAGTACGAGTAGCCGAGTAAAACTGCGATAGGCAAATTAGTGGCGCTGCTTTCGGAACACGTCATCTGCGAGGAGCATAAAAGTCCCTGTTTGAGAGCAAGCCCACATATTTCACTGTGACAGTGACATCAGAAATCTGAGATAGCCAATTCGTAACAATGACCTCCAGGCATCATTTGCCTGCAGAACTGCGATGGAGAGCCATTAGAAGACTAGAGGAAGGACAAAGTCAAACAGAAGTGGTCAGATTGCTAAATGTGAGTCTTTCTGTGGTTCATAGACTTTGGATGCAATTTCAAACCACAGATTCCGCATCTAGGAGGTTCAGCCAAGGACGGCCAACTGCTACGACGAGCGCCAATGACCAATATTTGACATAATGTGCACGCAGAAATAGAACCGCTACTAAGATTCTTCTCAGATCCTCCCTTGCTGCAGCCACCGGAAGGTTCGTGTCAACGCTAACTGTGCGTAGAAGGCTTCATGAAGGCGGCCTGTATGCGAGGCGACCAGCCATTTGTGTGCCGCTCACGTCACGCCATAGGAGGGACCGTTTTCAGTGGGCACGACAACATGTCCACTGGACGCCTGACCAATGGAGGGCGGTTCTCTTTACGGACGAGTCCAGGTTTAGTCTAGAAAGCGATAGTAGGTGTTATTTGATATAGAATCTAGAACCCGTTATCATCCGTCAAACATCCGTGAAAAAGATGCATACGGAGGGGGCAGTGTCTGTGTTTGGGGTGGTATCTCTTTGGGTGGACGCACAGACCTCCATGTCTTTCCAAGGGGAACCGTGAATGCTCAGATTTATAGAGATGACATCCTTGATGTTTATGTGCGCCCATACACCGAGGCAATAGGTGATGCTTTCCTGTTACAGGACGACAACGCAAGACCACACAGGGCTCGCATCTTACATGATTATCTTCAACAGGAAACAATTATGAGCATGGAGTGGCCAGCTTGATCCCCGGACTTGAATCCTATCGATCTCCTTTGGGATGCTTTAGGGAGACGTCTAGCTGCTCTCAATCCGCCCCCTTAGACCCTTGCCGCGCTTGCAACTGCTTTGCAAGAACTTTGCTCTCGCTTCCTATGGAACTGAGAGACCGCATAATTGAAAGCATCACACATCGCTGTATGTGCTGTATTGCTTCTAGAGGTGATCATATTCCATATTGAAGGTACTTTTCCTATAGCAAACTGACACCTGCGATTTGTTCATTTTATACATGTGCTAATTTCTATACTACAATATTTGTAAGGTAATTTCTTTTTATGTTATTTGATACCTTACTATGTGTTATATATTGTGGGTAAGTTTCATTAAATTCTACATGTAACTTTTTTAGTAATTGTAATTTTTGTGATTTTTCCTTAATTTATGATAACCAGTGTATATTGTTACTTAGGTATCAGTGCAATCAAATGGATATTCTCTTTAAAGAAAGAGAGAATGTATAAAAAATATTAGCAATAAAATTGATGGTTTGTATACATTTCTAGATCTCTTAGAAATGGAGCTGACGGGAGATGAACCTGATTTCATTCAAAAGATAAAAGGAATGTATGAAACCTGCATGGATCTTGGTAAGTCTCGTTTAAAATGCAGCAGTTTATCATTTAGCTACAAACACAATATGATGAATGTGATCAAACTGCTTTTTTGCTGTTTTGTAAACTTCCAGACATCGTTATTAATCCTCTTTTATAAATAAAATATAAGTCATATAATTTTTATATTTATGCTGACTGACTGAAATGTGTTAAATGGTTCTTTTTTTTTCAGCATCAGATGATACTATGGGTCTTAAGTTTCTTTCTTTCTTTTTCCTAACTACGTAAATTAAGTAATTAAGCAATTAAGTTGAGTTCTTAAGTCTTAAATTAAGCAATTAAACAGAGCCTTCCACTTTAAAAAGCATTAATGTTACTACTTACTTGTATACAAAATTACGTCTTCAAGGATGTAATGACTGCGATCCAAAGTGCTTGTAATTTTGCACTACGCCAGTTACTTTGGAATAAATTCTGCGCAAGTAAAGCGGATTGAGGGATCACATTAATTAATCTTTTGTCGACTGTCATTCTCATTCTCTATTTTTGACAATGCTGTTGCACCGGTGGTTTCTGAAGTACGAGTACGTTTTCAATGCTGTTTCTTATTCTCTAATATACCAATTCTTTATGATGCGAAAATTTACTTTCTTCTGTTCTACATTTTCGGTAGTTATGCTATGAAACCGTAGCAGAGATATATCTATTGTTATTATAGACATCGGTCTCTATTCAAAACATTGGAATCACTGACATGTCATTGCATTTTCGATTCGATGATTCGTACGGTCACTTGGACTCGTATATAAGGAAACATATTTTGTAAATGTTGTGTTGTAGTATATTGGTAGTTAAATTTAGAGATCAATATGCTTTAAGCTAAAGTTTTAACGTAATAACAAATAATAAATTATCTTCAGGGACAGGCACGTTTCCGGTATTTTTAGCCTAACGGTTAATCAGTTATAATTTTCCCTGCTATGCTCTTCAAGCTATTTAGTTAGTTACTAAAAATTTCAAAGTAAATAATTTCAGAATCTTTCCGAAATATTTTAACGTATCCCGTTTTTCACATAAAAGTAATATGATTTTTCTAGAGAAATTAATATCATTATTTTTTTTTAATTTTAATCCGAAAGAAGCATTAAAAATATTTTATATCATCGAGGTTATATTTTGTGAGAATAATCGGACTTTTTTTTTCTTCTGTCTGGGTACACAACATTCTCCATAAACAGAGAGAATCAACGTGACGGGCAGCGAACCTCTGAAGAAGGCCCTGACGGATCTTGGAGGCTGGCCAGTCGTGGAAGGAGAAAACTGGAATTCCACCTCCTTCACATGGCTTGATACTCTCGTTCGGCTTCGCCACATGGGTTTCAATCATAATATACTGATGAATATTTCTGTAACTCAAACAGGTCATATTAGGAGACCGACTTACATTATAAAGGTGAGAACGGCTTGGTAAAATTGCAGTTCATAAACTGTAAATGCAAACATAATTAACGCTATAAATCGGTATTTTTATTATAAACACATGTTTAAGGATACTACATTTTTAGGCAGCAAGACTTATTAACAGCAGTAAAAATGATGTTGCTAACAACAAAGTTTTTGTCATTACAAATGGTAAACGTCTATAAGGTATTTCTTTCGCCTTATTAGCATGCCTTCGTGGTCAGCACACTCAGCGCGTATCGAGATGTCCGTGGTTCGAATCCCAGCGAGTGCATTGCGCATTTTTCATCTCTCCTGCCTCAAAATAACCTAACGTCTCTACAGTGGCTCCCGAACTAAAAAGTGGTAGATGATGATTCTTCACCATCAGGAATTGGCGATTCGATCCCCTAATCACCAGTCGCCCTTTAAAAGGGGTAGTGTATAAAGTATTTCTCCCGCCTTAACAGCATGCCTTCGTGGTGTAGTGCGCAGCACGCTCGTCGCGTATTCGAGAGGTCCGTGGTTCGAGTCCCAGTGAGGGCATTCTCATTTCTTCACGCTTCCTGCTTCAAAAATCCTAATGTCTCTCTACATATATATAATAAAGCAATTACCAAATTACGAAAAAGCTATTTATTCATCTACTTCAGTTATATTTAACCATGTTCAATTTCTTTATTATGCGGGATTCTTAATATCTTTATTAACACCTCGAAGATATGTTATTGTTTTCAGTTACCTATAAAATCTCGTTCATTAAAAATAAAAATTAGAATCATTTAAGCGACTCGTTATCGTCGATATGAATCAAACCTTTCATTCATTTTCATAAAACTCCATTACTGGGAGCGTAAGTCATTCGTTTAAATAGTTAGTTCAAGAAATTAGTCGCGTAATATGCTTTTAAATCTTTCGATTTATTTTGTTAACCACACAACACCGATTCCACACTTTTCAAGCTCACAAAGTAACCATTAGTTAAACAAATTACTTTATGGCTACTCTATATGTATACAAATATATATATATAAGTTATAAAAATATGTAAATCAAAATTTAAAATTAAATTTGCAATAGTCCCTTCATTTTAATTTGGGTATTTTCCCTTTCTATTCTAAAAATAGTAATTGGTTCTAATAAACTTTTCTGGACTGCGTCATTTCTAGATTAATCCATATCATATGACTTTTTCAAGATGGGTAGGAATTTCCAATCCTCATTTTATGTAAGAAACATCATCTTAAATTCAGACCAGAGCCGTAATTCTTTTATCCACCTCATATAAAATCTTTTTTAATTTCTTTTCAAGCTGGACCACCCACTGTTAGGAACATCACGTCATTTCCTGATGTATGAATTAGATCATTTCTTCTTAGAAAGCTACTTCAATTTGATGGTGGAAACAGCTAATCGATTGGGCGCAAATCTTTCTCACATAAATCAAAGTACCTTGATCGAAGAACTGAAAAAAGTGCTCAGTTTTGAAGCTAATCTTGCCATTGTGAGTATTAAGAATTATTAGTTTTAATAATTAATCCAAACATTTTTCATGGAACATTTGCTTGGTCTATTTGCCTGTTCATGATACATTGCATAGGAACTTTATTTTAAGCATGCCATTGCATTAGAACGTATATCCCTCAATACTGTTCCACGTGAGAGTAAAATATGATGTTATTTTAAACAAGTTTCGAATTATAGATAGAAGACAGTGATAATCAAAAGCAAGCACGTTCAACCATTTTTCATATAATAGAGATAGTATAAAGTTCTCTTACTTTCACTGAATGAAGTAAATATTATTGAAGCACAACTCCACGTAGCATCAGAACTGAATGCTATATCTGTTCAAAGTTTTCTGTACTCGTTCAAAACACACATAAATGCATTTGTTTGATCTTAAAACCTTTCACATGAATTTTTCTGTGTAATATTTCATTCAAAGGATATTGATTAAGTTTTTTAACTGATGTTGAAAATTGTTCATGGCAACATAAAAGAGGGGGAATTATCAACATAATTCTAGTTCTTAATTGTGTTCAACCGTAAGGGATTTATTAATCCTTTTATTAAAAGAATATTTAAAACTGCCGAGGAAATTTAGATAAGAATTTTACTTTAAAATAAAGAGGTATTTCACGCGAATATATTATTTGCATACAGGTTTGAACACGCTTACACTCAAAATATGAGAATTGCATTCATTAAATAAGATATTGCAGTAAGGAAAACTTTGATGAAAGTAATCAGGCATCTTCTTGAATATTAATTATTGGTTTTAGATATGTAAACTAATAATGAAAAATATTCTTGTATTCTAATTTAATTGAAGTCCTTAGTCCAAAGTTTCAGTAGAGTAAATTCTTAATGTTTCATTTTAACTCAATGTATTTGTTCACTAATTAATAGTTAAATTATTTGTGCTTTATTGTTGAATTAATTATTTGCTCTTAGTACACTTTATAATAATTTATGCACCTTCGGTTTCAGCGACACTTAGCTTGCTTTATGAGAGTTTAATCAAAGAAAAATATTTTAACTTTGGATTTTTTTTAGTAAATCTTATCTACTAAAACAGCAATTCTATGTTATTTTTTTTCTTTCAAATTCATACATTATATAATCAGTGCATTGTATCTTTGGCGCAATTTGAATTTTCTGGTTTCTAGAACTGATAGCATTTGAGCTGCAAATATGCATTAGACCTTTTAACATAATTCCTTCTGAGGTTGCAACTATTACAGATTTAAAGAAAATTCAATCCAGCCTATTGTTTTCTAATCCTGTTTAATCGTTTTCCAATCCAGTCTAATGTATTTCCTGTGTATTCAGTTTGGGAGAAGGACACGTATTACTTTTTCGAAGTATGGAGGTGGCATGCCTTTTATCATTAAATGATCTTAATCAAATCGAGAGTAAATATTAATCAGTTCCTTCGTAGTGAGACAAATTAGAACTCTTCTGGATAACATAATGTTTACAATCAGAGAATACATAGTTCTTTTCCTTTTTTTTTTTTTTTTTTTTTTTTTTTTTTTTTTTTTTTTTTTTTTTTTTTTTTGAAATTTTTAAGCGAGTTTTACTGCATTTTCCCCTTCTAAGGGACAAGACTACTTTTTTCTTTTACAAAGAAACTACAGACGGTATTTCCACATTTTTAGAATAGTTTCAATAACGAATGAAAACGTCAGGTGCTCTGGAATAAAACTTTCTAGCAATAGCTTATTATTTGAAATGATTAATACTGTCTGCTACATTTAAATTAATTCTCCTTTCAAAATGTCGCATTTAAACAAGCTGTGGGTTAAAGGATAAGTTGAGGATAAGTTAAAGGATGAGTTTTTTGGGAGGTTAAGGATAATTCCAAAGAGAAATATTCCTATTCCAAAGAAGTCAAAAGGCTGGGAAATGCGTGGTATTAAAATTTTTAAGTGCAATGTTATTTATGTAAAAGAGAAAAGCCAACAATAATTGCTTATACATGGAAAGAAGATTCCAAACAAATACCCGAAAAAACATACGTATTGTTTCTAAAATTAAATCTTTGGTAACAATTGAAAATCAGTCTATGCAGAAATCAGTCTTTCATTCATTTTCATAAAAACTCATTACTGAGAGCGTAAGAGAGTGATTCGTTTAAAAAGTTAGTATACAAAATTTGTCAGGTAATATGCTTGTAAATCTTTCTATTTATTTTGTTAAAGCTGCACCAAATTCCACACCTTTCAACCTCCCAAAGTAACCATTGTTTAAACAATGATAGGTAGCAGAGCCTACATCTGTAGCAAAAGCAAACAAAATAATAAACCAAGATTCACAAATTTAAAAGCTAAAAATATAAAGTTTACCAGATTTTGCCGAATACTGATGGCTCAAGGCATAACGACTTATAGAACTCTCGATGAAATTAATTAGATAAAGATAAAAAGAAATACATTTAACTCTTGATGAAGCATATGAATTTGCTGAAATGACTGCAAATTATATTCTATTTATTATCGGGATAAAAGAGAAGAAAATGTACAAACTTGACTCCGTCAATGCAAAGAATGTTTCAGAAATGGGTTTATGACAGTCGCAGGATTCTTTTACAATACGTAGTTAAAAATAAGAGAAGGTAGAAAATTTTTAAACTCAAAATCAACATACTATCAAGAGAAAGTTTAATGTCTGATGTTTACAGAAGAAACTAGAAAAGAACCACATTCCTTAGATTACACAATTCCTTTTCAGTGTCCCCTGACATTTCATTTATGAAACGTTCTTCCTTTGGTCTCTTGAAAGAAGCTCTTTCTAAGCGCAAACCCGCCACCATTGATGGACTTCGGAAAATAGTGCATGAGGAATAGAAATCAATATCCCTGTAAATTTTACAAAAACCTTTCTATTATGCAAATCACTGCGAAGATTTATAATCCAGAGAAAAAATGCTATCAGATAGAACACTTAAAAATATTCTTTCATTTTTAAATATTAATTAAAGGGCCCCGAAATCGTTCTAAAAAATGCATAAACACCTCTGTAGTTGCTGTCGATGATATGATATTTACCAGAATTGTAAGTTTACGCGCGCGTAACCATCCGTGATTACTATTTCTGAAAGGGCGTTAAGATTTTAATATCATCACGCTTTGAAATTACCGACTGAATTTTGTTTTGTGACTGTTATCTAATTCTTAGTCACAAACAAGTCTATAACTAACAATTATCGCATTCCCCAGTGCATGATCATGTAAGGTAAATGATAAACACATCTAGCTAAACACTGAAATAATACAATGGTTTGAATCACGCGAAGACATTCAACTATATGGGAAAAACTAATTCTCCTCTACAAGCTTTGTGGCTGAGTGCAGCAAACCGTCTTTTTAGATTTAGGGGTAGACAGTCTTTTTCGATTTTTACACACTATCGTTTATTAAGTTCCAAACTTAAGAAGGGTTCTTCCCTTACGCGTTATTTCCATAAAATGGGCTTATGCGAGATTTCTGCTTTCGCAATGACCGGTTATTCCAGCTGTTAATCAAATTTTGTCACCTCTATATTGGCTTAATTCTAATTCGGCATTGTGTAGGTTTTGTTTTTCCCCAAAAGCCTTGCAAAGTCTAATAAATGTTACCTTCGCTGTATGTAATTTTATGCTTTAATATTTGTTTTTCACTGAGAATATTTCTGTCCGTTTTTCTGTAAGCCTATTATTAGTTAGAGCATATAATGCTGCCTGGTTCAACGTTAAAAAAATAGAAAATTGAGAAGTATTCAGAATGCTTATCAGTAAGATACAATGGTTGAAAATCGCAGTATAATTTCCGTGTAGTCTTTGCAGTATTTAAATAATATTAATAATAAAATATATGGCAACATGCACGACAAAAACGTTACATTCAATTTTTTTACTCCTCTTTTATTCTAAGCATAGACATACCATGAGTTAATCAAATGTACTAATTTAATTTCTTCTGAGTATATTGTTTACTTCACATATTTTATTATTTGTCAACTCTGAGTTATGCCAGGGTTTATTTACAATGCAAAGATAAAGTTCGTACCAGTTAGAGTTTTAATATTTAACAGGAAAAGTAGATTAAAGATATGCTATAAAATATATTACACATTTAGAGCAATGAAAAGTTAATAAACTTGTATTTTATATTTTAGAAAACATCTTAATAACCAATAAATATCTCAAAGCTGAGAATTCCTTTGTCCCTTCATTTTCTCATTATTATAAGATTTAGATTTCGCTGACTTATACTATGGTATAAAGTAGATAGTATCAGGCAATTACTAGTACTGTGTTATGCTACACTGATACTATGTATAAGTTATGTCTATACTGCTCCTATTTTATACTATGCTATAAATGGATAAAAATTCCTTTTTACAGATCTCTCTGCAGAGTGAACAAAATTGGACAAGGAGTAGTCCGTGTCGCAGATGCACTATAAAGAAACTTAAGGATAATTTCCCACAGGTAAAATCTTCAGCATGTAGTTTGCTTACATTTTGAAATGCTGTCCAGACAGGATAGTGGTTAATGACGCTGACTACCGTACCGAAGAGCTTAGATTCGAATCACGAAGAAGGCATAGATGCTTGTAAATGTATGATGTCTGTAAGGCATGGGGGCACTGAAAATATATAGTGATCTGAAACTCTTCTCGAATAGTTTGGGGTAAAGGAAGAGGAGTGGGAGACCCTCCGACCCGTCTCCAGGAATCTCTGGTTCAAAATTGGTGTGGAACTGGGCAACGTCGTGCTGTCACTTATGTTCAAGTCACATCCCAGCGACCGGTACAGTTTTACACCACTTGCCAAGATAAAATTCATGGGCTTGCTCTGATTAGGTTAGACGAGTGATATTAGACATAACAATATTCCGAATCATATAATTTTTTATTTACTGGAAAATGGTTAAATCCTCTACGTTTCACAAGTTTTACCTCTACGTGAATATACCAATTCTCTGCTGTCTTGCAAGCAAGATACCGAAGCAAACTACGATCTATTTCCGAACTTTTACTCGCACTTTATGTATTGCGTAATTTTTATGAGTCATTTATTATAAATACTATCAGCATTTCCAATGATGAAATACGTGTTTTAATTCGGGATAAGTATATACAAAAGCATTCAGATTATCTACATTTTTTATAATTATTTTCACTAATAACTTTCAGAATGTTTAGATAATTTCAGAATGTTTGTAAATGTATAGTGATTTAAAATTATAACCAAATAAATTAAATTCTCATATTACAGAAAGTTTAGTCACTTACAATCATTTAGAAGAGAGGAAAAAGAAGAAATTAATATTTGATGTCCAATTCTTCAAAATAAGAATTAATAAGTTGTTTCTTATACTGCTAAGAATATTTTGCCTCGGCAACTGTCCATAGCAAGGATTATTGGAATTAAAACCGTTCTTACTGGATAAAAAGCCTTTGGTTTCTGGAGGCGTATAAAAATCGAATTTCATTAAGTAATGAAATTTTGAAAATTACCAGTTCAAATTTCATAGTTTGAAACCAAACCTTCTCAATTAGTGTTTCACCAGGGTAAAAAGTGTTTTTTTTCTTCCAAATTCTCACTCGATGTTTACTATATGTAATAAAAACAATATTTGTATATTATTCTCAACAATTTTTATCAATCATCTTTGAAATAATTATGATCTTACGAGCATGCTCTTCTTTTAACTAAATTGATTGTGGGAAATACATCTCAGGTTCGCAATGAACCTGCATAAAAGTGGCTTTGACTTTCCAGTGTAAAATTGTTAATTTAGTATATTTTTACCAAATGATATCATGTGATCAAATCCATCATAAGCTAAAGTTATTTGAATAGCTTTCTAAATTGGATATCTGCTTCATTGGCCAAACTTCAAGGTACGGGTAATTTTTTAACATCTTTCATAAAAGGCAGAAAATAGATTGCTTAATTATATGTAAATAGGAACGAATTTAGTTTCCAAATTTTAAATGTATGAATTTCTATTTAATTAAGAAAGTACAGCGAAACTTTTTATAATGATTTAGCTCTCTCACGAGACCGCTTAAGGAAAGATACAGAATTTTTGGAAACATAAATATCATAGGTATCGAAAGTCATGGAAAATTTTTTTATATACGGTGATCATCTTTCAGATAGCTAAAATCATTTTGAATTGTGAAAGGCTCTATGGTGAAGAGTGGTTGTCTTGAAAGGTGCTATTTTGCTGTGCTATTCCATTCTTACTAAAACATTTAAAACTGAACAATTTTCTTGCATAAAAACTAAATTGACCATATTATATATGTTTTATACCACTTTGAACATAATTTCTCTTGTCTTTATTTATAAGATTTTTATTTTGTTTTATGACATTACTCAAAAGAAATCATTAAAAATTTACAAACAATAATTATGTACTCTGAAAAATAAAATAATACTAAACTTACAAAATAGAAAATTGCTTTATAGAACTGATGAAAGAAATTCCACAAATTATATCCATGGTTGCTACTGTAGACAAAAATAAATGAATAATTTAAAATAAAAAATATGATTCTGAAGTAAATGTTTCAAATTAAGAAATAAGATATCCCCATTATTGTTTTCATAAATTCAGAGTTTGATTTTTCTTAAATTTTATTTTCCTGCCTTCGTCAAGTTATCTTTAAATGTCTACCAAGCAATTATTAATCGCAAAGCTTGAAAAAAATGTATCGGCTCGTTTTTTTTAATTCATCATCTTAAGAAATGAATTTAGTTTGAGAGCTAGCGGTATTTCATTTGAAATTGTTTCATTTGAAGTTATTAGTGAATCAGAAACTTTTCGTTTCAGTTTATGCAACCTACTAGATTTAGTGCAAATGAAGTGAAAATACTGCAAAAAATGACTGAAGATCAGACAAGAACCGCAAACGTTTAAGCAAATCATTACTAGCAACTGACATTAGCATTTTACTAGTAAAATGCTAATTTTTAAATTAACTAACTAACGGGCATTATACATTTTGCTGGGATTGGAATTCCCCCATTAAGAAAAATAACTGTGGTAATCTGCTCGCCTTGTCAAGCCAAAACATTCCCTGCTCCCCCCACAAAAATGTGGTAGAAGCTTCTGAAAATGTAATTTCTTTTTTAAAAGTGATTTCCATATTCTTCTTCCAGACAGATCATATTTTATTTAGCATTTTACTATCAAAATGGCAGCTAGTTTGTAGAGTCATTAATTTTTTTTAAACAGAAGACAAGAAAAATGTACAATACCCTCGCCGGGACTCGAACCTGGAACTCTCGAGCACGCGTCGAATATGCTTCTAATTACACCACGAAGGCATGCTGGAAGGAGGGAGAAAATACTCACACTGATGTGAAAATATGCAATGACCTAGACTCGAACCTAGACCTATCGAAAAGGCGCCGAGACACGACGAAGGCATGCTGGACGGAGGGAGAAAATAAAGCTATTAATTTAGTTAATTAATTTATAAATTAGCATTTTACTAGTAGAATGCTAAGTGTAAATAAAACAAAATTAATTTTTGCTGGTAAAATGTACTGTAGAAAAAATTAATTTTTAGTAGTAAAATGTTAATTTTTAAATTAACTAACTAAATTAGTAACTAACTAATTGGTATTTTACGAGTAAAATGCTAAACAAAACACGATCCGATCGAAGAAGATGAAAATTACTTCAAAAAAAGAAATTTCACTTTCAGAAGCTTCACTTTTTTGGGAGAAGGCAGGAAGATTTTTCTGCTTGAAAGGAAGTATCTAGAAGTTCTGTGAACTTATTAAGTGGTATGACGTATTAGAAGAAGCGCGTTAGGTAAAACAGTGATATAGTTATTTTCTTCAAAAGCCTTTTTATACACTGACTACCAATAAGTATTTGGACACCTATGCAAATGACGATATCTGCGGTCCTAAGGTACGTCACGGACTCCGCCGGTATATATCGTGTAGGAAACAGCATCGGCTTTAGTCGCATGCAAGATGCCTCGCTGTTCGGAGCTCTCTGATTTCGAGAAAGGTATAATTATCGGGTATCACAAATGTGGCCGATCCTTTAGGGACATATCTAGCAATCTGAAGTACCCAAAATCGACATTGGCCTATGTGATTAAGAAGTGGAAGGTGAGCGGTGATTGTCGGAATGTGCCCCGAGTCGGCAGACCAACGAAACTGGGAGATAGAGACCGACGAGTGCTGTCCAGAGAAATTCGGAAGAACCGCACCCAACCGATGGCCCTCATCCGCGAGGAGTTTCAACAGGCATCCGGGAGTATTGTTTCAATGAATGCCATCCGTAAGGAAGCACATCTGCTTGGTTTTCATGGTCATGCTGCTGCGCATAAGCCTTTGATCACAAAGTCCAACCGCGCTGCTCGGTTAATGTAGTGCAAAGCACATCGAAATTGGACCATAGATTAGTGGAAACGGGTTCTTTGGAGTGACGAATCAAGGTTCACCCTTTACCGTTCGGATGGCAAAGGTCTGGGTCTGGCGTCTACCTGGAGAACGTCTCATGCCAGAATGCATTGTGCCAACAGTCAAGTTCGGCGGAGGTGGAATTATGGTCTGGGGGTGTTTCTCCTGGTATGGGCTGGAACCCTTGGTCCCCATTCATGGTAAGCTCAACTCCGATGCTTACTGCACTATTTTGGATGACAATTTTTGGATATTGTTATATATAATATATATATAATATATAATTTTTGGAATACTGCATTTTTGGATGACAATATTTTGGATGCTTTTTGGATGACAATACTGCACTATTTTGGATGACTGTTTTGGATGGTTCCTACGTTGCGGCAGTTTTACGGGTTGGACCCCTGTTACTTTCAGGACGACAATGCCAGTTGTCATATTTCGACGTTAACCAAGGCTTGATATGGTGTCAATGGAGTTCATCGAATGGACTGGTCTGCCCAGAGTCCAGACCTGAACCCTATCGAGAACCTCTGGGACGAGTTGCATCGCCGAATTCAGGGGTGCACTACCCGTGCAAAATCGGTGAAGGAACTTCTATGTCTTCTCCAAGCCGAGTGGAAGAAAATACCACTAGCTGTAATACAAAGACTTGTGGAAAGTATGCCCCGGAGGGTCCACGCTGTAATTACCTCTCGTGGAGGCTCTACCAACTATTGATTTTGAATAAAGTTAGTTTTTCTTTTCTATCACAGGTGTCCAAATACTTATTGGTAGTCAGTGTATAAGTTTAAGCTAACAATTTCACAGCTACTGCGCATTTGCAGTAATTTGAGTTTCAGTAGAAAGACAAATATACTTTTTTCACTCTTCTAATAGATTGACTGGATCAGGTTTTTCACTGACTTGCTGAATCATGAAGTCACTGAAAACGAACCCTTGATGATTAACGATCTAAATCTTATCATTAGGCTCATTGATTTCATTACAAAGGCAGATAAAAGGTAAGACAAATCTCATAAGTGTTTTAAATTATACATGTTGCTACTCCCAAATCTACATTTCTAAAGTAAAACTTATACTTCTTAAGAGGAAAGATAGCGCGAAAGTAAGAGAAATAAATCAAGCATTTGCTGTAATTTTGAATTGATAATAATGCAGAAATGTCTTATTATGCTGGGTTTCATGAAACATCTGATTCTTTATATTTGTAAGAACAAACCAAAGCATGTTTTGGGGGTAAAGTGTACCAATATCGATTTTGTTTAAATTAGATCTCAATTTAAAAGATTTGAAAATTAATTGAAGTAAACATGGAAGTGTACTTGAAAAAAGAAAATAAAGACAAAAGCTTTAAGACTTCTACGAAACAAAACATGCGAAGTTTGAAGAGAAGCCAGTATAAGAGTGGGAAAAAGAAAATTAAGAAGTTCCATGGGTGAGCTATGACGAAGAGCGAGGATTGCAAAGTTGTTAGTTTAAATTACTCGAATATGGCAAATCAGGTAAGGGCTATCTGCCTAAGATACGGATGTCTTCATGTAGGACATTCTAAGGGAAACTGGCTCGTATTCGCATTATACATAGGGAAAGCCACGAGAACCCGCCATGCAAGCAGCCCGTTTGCCTAGGATCAAACAACAAAGGTGTTAGACTAATCTCGAGTTTGGGAGTGGCATAGTTGGCCATGTTGTTTGGAGCAGTGTCAACATGCATCTGTGGAAAGAATGCAACAGACTTTCCATGGAGAAAAAACTGAAAATTTGATTTAATATTAATATTACTTTAAACTAAATACTGTTTGCAATCAGCACAAGGAATTCATTTTTAAGGTCAGGGAGTTTATATTTTAATCACTCCAGAGCTATTTGTCTGGTTATATCTGTATATCCTACAGTTAATTATCCTTCATAATTGAAAGTTCAAAGCATCAGTCTCTTTTTAAGTACTTTGAATTTATCAGTTTATGAAACTTTGGATACGTTAGTTTAAATTTTAATTGAAACTTCAATCAGTTATGTGCTAAAATAACTAATTGAATTCAATTTTTTTAAGTACTGAGTGAAACGAAATATATGCTGGCATTACGGATCACTTAAGGAAAAATAGTTCTCTTTTCCTGTAGTTTAATTAAGAACAAACACTAATTTATTTCAAAAATCGCATAAATTAAGAATTGTTGATTAACTATTAAATCTATGTTAAAGTTAAATGAAATACAAGTCACTTCATTGCGCACAATTCTGACCGCTTAAAATTCTGACTCTCGAACAGATGTAATTTTCTGCAATATATGTTAATACTGAATTAATGAACTTATAGTTCTGAAGTTTCACCAATAGCACTTTCTAGAAAAGCATTGAAATAATTCTTAATTAAAATCTGAATTTAAAGATGCATGAATGATACTTGACACTTGAAAAAGTGGGAAGAATAGCCTGAACAGATTAAATATATACTCTGCTGGCGTTTTGTAAGCAGTACCATCTATTGTCATGTAATAATTCATTTCTGCAAGAGTTTGCTTATATGATCACGCTGGAATATTATCCGAGTTTAATGAGTGTGATTGCACTTGCAAGTTCAGAAGGATAAACTTTTAAGCACTTTCTGATTCTCTGTTCAAATAAGTGACCATTAATCTATATAGGATGCGGAAAAAAAAAACAATTTATCACTTAGTATTGCTAAAATTATAGCTGTTATTATCATCTGAAAGGAGGGTTAGCTCAGACGGGCTATTAGTCTGGAAACAGGATTTTGCGTTGAATCACTGTAAAAGGTTGAGTCAATTTTCAAATTGTTGCTTCCCAACTATTATCACCCTGTATTATTTTTAAAGAAATTAAATAAAGGAGAATGTGCATGAATGTAGATATGTTTCTCGCATTGTGAAAAAACGATGGTACCTAGAGCCATCAAATTTTGAATGACGTAATCCTCCACCCGAACACTTGAAAGCCCGAATTTTGAATTATCAACTTCATATTTTTTAAAACATGAACGAATTTATGATCAACAAACTCTACGATTAAAAGCGATCGCCGCACTGTAAGAAAAAAAAAAACGTTTTTATCTCTGGCGCGCGAGACTGTCTATCAGAAATTATAAAGAAATTGCTGTTTTAATATATTTGTGATAATTCTGTTAAACTGAATGTAGTTTAAGACCGACGAACATGATATTTAATAAATAAATAAAGGTAACACAGAAAACGTCAAATAACGTCCTTTTGGGCGTTACATAAAATCTGAAAGCTTTATTCTGTTTATTATTATTATTATTCTATTTATTATTATTATTATTTATTACCTTGTTGCTCAAAAGATTTCCAAAAGTGAAACAACAATGGAAATAACTTGCCTAAACTGCTCAAAATGTTTCAGAAATGTTCCTGCTCTTCAGCCTGTCTCCCCCTGAGAAGCGAACTGCTCATTAGGAAAAAGAAAAAACTGGAAAGCGAGAAATTTTATAAGCTAAGCACTGTAAAACAGTGAACTTCAGTGAAGAGATTTTGAAAAACTGCAGTTTATTAGATTAATTTCAGTAAATGAATGCGGTTAACTTACCACAAAATACAGGAACTTTTATACAGTCTCTTATGTATAGTAATAGAAAGTGCTAGTAAGTAATAAACAAATGATTATGCATTGGAGAATTCAAGGAGAAAAAACTATAAATTAATTTTCCAAAATTCTTAAATTAGAATTTAAAATTGATGAAATTCCACTCAGGATACTGTTTGTTTAAAGCACGATATACCATGACCCCTCTTTTAAAACTAGTTTATCCCACTTCAAGTTCTTTCAGACGAAGCGTTTTTAAATATTTTCGCATTTCAATTACTCACGATAGGACAGGTATGACGAATTTCTATTTCAGCTTTTCGCAAGGGTCCACACTAAAGCGATGCCACACTGGGACTCTCGTACATTGTGATTTACGTACGAAGAAGTATGAAGTACGTATGAAGTGATGACACTTTTACCTGTGTGTCTTTCAGTTTCGTGTTGCCATTTAAATTACTATTTATTAATAGCATGGTTACCGCTGGAATTAATAATTAATACTGCAAACAGAAAAATTTTGTATGAAATAATAACACACGGTAAAGTACGAGTATCATTTCGTTCAGTCTTATTCTTTCAATACTTCTTCCTCTCAACTATATAATAAAGGAGAAAAGATGTTAGAATGACACGATTTTTTATGTTTTCACCCCAAATGCCTGCAATAGAAAAAGAATTGAGTGATTTGGTTTTCCTCCCGACCGTCAAAAAACTTTTAAGAGGCACGACTTTTTTGGTCATCTTCAGAAATTCTGAAAACGGGAAAGTGGAAATGGTACATCATGCTTAATGCTACCACGGTTGACACTGAGTCAGCTTTTAATAAAGAGGTTATTCCTAACAAATCATGTAAGTTATACTCAGATGATTTATTTTAAAATAGTTGTAATCAAACTAAAAAAGAAAAAAGCGACAAAACTTTTAATCTTATGCATTCCTATTAAACTAATTCGTTTCTATCAAAGGTACTGATGCCCTTCAACTGTTGATAAACAGTAAGTGAAAGTCTTGAACTAATGAAAACTTTTATTGAACATTAATCGAAATGTTTCAGCTATCAAATTGAATGACAGCTTATGCACATTCTTTACATTCTGAGCAAACTAATTTAAACTAAAAGGGAAAGTTATAAACTCTATTAGTTTGCCAAATATTACAATCCAAAGATAAATAGCAGAAGCTTCATTTTCTAGAATCAGTTTTACAAACTATTAATAGTTAAAAGCAATGAATAACGCATCAGTTAAAATTTAGTTTTCGATTACTTAGAAATTGTTTTATTCACTTTTTTGTTAATGTCAGAACAACAAATAAAGTAAAAATTAATGAAAATATTTTACTTTTGGTCAAAAAACTAGCGGCTGCTTTTAAAAAGCAAATCAATAGCTAACGCTTTTCAATTTTTTGGAGCAAATTCAGACGTTACTATTTAGTACATTTTGTTAAAATACGGTCAGTTGTTTATTAATAAACGATTATATATTTATATCTAGATCCAAATTAGCATTAGATACTTAATTCAGTATACTTTGCTTATGTCAGGCGGTATGTTTCCATATTATTATTAACTGTGAATGATTTAATGTTTATATGATTCAATTTAACACAGTTTTGTTGTCTTTTGTATTGTAAGAATGCATTGTGAGGATTAACGAAGTATTTCGGAACATCGTTATTTCGTAACCTTCACCTGTTACTCATAGTTCGTATCGTACAACAATCTCCAACTAAACGTTTCGCTAAAATTTTCCGTCGACACCTTCAACTGAAAAATAACCATACTGTTAAGTATAGCAATTTTTCTTTGCAGGGTAGTCGCTAATTACATGCTGTGGAGAGCTGTTCACGAATCCTTACCCTTGATGCCTAAAGATTGGAATCCTGTGCTTCGGGAACACATCTCAGCAATCCCATTACATAATGCGAGAAAGGCTCGTAAAAGACAATGCCTTTCTACCATTAGTGAAAATTTAGGAGTTGCTCTTTCTTCCTACTATGTGGCGCAGTATTTCAAAGAAGACAGCAAGAAAGACGTAAGTGTTAATTATCTTGCCCACAAGAGGATGTATTAATTTTCAGATTAAAAAAATTACATCGCATTTTTATTTCGAAAACTGAGTAATGGCAACTTGTTAGTAAATTTGGTATTATTTTGCTCAATATAGCGTTCATTGCGTTGCACCGCAGTGCTACAGGTCGAGGCTTCGATTTCCGAGCTGGGCAAGGTTGACTCAGCCTTTCATCCCTTGAGTGGGTCGATAAAGGTCCAGTTTTAATTGCTAGCAAAGTAGCTTAGTTTTTATTACAGGTTTTTCTTATTTTATCAAAGTACGTCATTTTGAGCATAAATTTTCATAAATCGAAAATGGCATGAATCGAAGAGGTAATTAGTATAGATTTCCGTGAGAAAAACGATACGAAATCTATAAAAAAATCTGTAAATATACACCAGATATAAATACGCTTGTTAAAGGGTTTCGTGCGTTTATAATTATCAAAAATACCTGAGTATCTTCAATAAAAAAATCATTTGTCCTTTCACACATTTTTAATTTAGTATTAGAGAATATACCAGCAGAATTATATAATTAGTAGTAGTTGCTATTCTATTGTCATTTGCTTTAAATAATTTCTTAGAAGAAAAATGTTTATTTAAATATTAGAGCTCCATCTTAGGTTTTCCATTATATTGTCCTTCCCGTCTGTTAACTGAGGCCTTCTGTACCGCAGAATAGTTGATATTTTCATTTAATTAATTTTTTCCCACGTCGAATAAATTTATTTGCCCTTTGTAGCCAATACTGCTCTGTCGGAGACCGAAAATGATTATTGCCTGTTGTTATTGAACTTGAATAAAAAATGGTCGAGGTCGCCGACTATACTACAATGAAGATAATTTGAGAATGGCCCGTGGCCAATTTGTGTTGCAAAGTTATTATGCACTTTCCATTCTAATTATGCATTTTCCAAATTCACTTTCAGGAAAAACCTATGAGTTTGTTTCCCCCATTACTATGTTATGCCTTCTGACTTGCCATTCTTGCATTATTTTATTTTTTGCTTTACTCTTTAGCAAAGAAATAGTTCAGTCTTTCTTTCGGAATTTCCAATACGTTTATATTGTTTGCTGCCAGGTTAGCCAGCTAATCTGCCAGAATTTTTCGGATATAATGAGCCTGCAGGCTTTTACTTTTAATTCCTTTAATTGCTTCTATTAATTGTTTCTATTAATTGTTCTTTAATTGTTTCTTACATTATAAATATTTTTATTTAACATCTTTGGCGTGAATCCATTAGATTATTATTTGCTTTGTTATAGTTAAGATTATTAATACATTTGCGTAAAATGTCTTTCCTCTTCTTTCTTTTAGGTAGAAGAAGTGATACAGTACATTAATACAGAATTCTTAAATATGCTACAAAATAACGAGTGGATGGACAACATAACTAAGGAAAAGGCAATAGAAAAGGTATTGTTATATTTCTTCTATTTCCCTATTAGACTAAAATTTCTTACTTCCATGAGATAAATAAGCATTTACTGCTTGAAATCTGCGATAGCATACAATAATCAATTCAAAGAAACGTTTTATTCATTTATTTAAACACCGGAATAAAACGCTTATTCTTTAAAGTAAAGGAATAACCATTTCAAAGAAACGTTTTATTCATTCATTTAAACACCGGAATAAAAAATTATTCTTTAAAGTGGAGGAACTGCAACCAACCAGAATTGAGTTCGGAGTATTGAGAGGTCTCCGTGCCAGCTTCGCCTTTTAGACGTAGTTTGAACTACGTATTGTGCTCTGTAATGCTTAGAAGAGCTGTAGGAGTACTTTTGTGAAAAATTCTACAGCAGTAAAATGTTTCTTTTGGTAAAAGAAATAAATTTCATGGAATCGGTACCGTGTGCATTCAACCCATTACAAACCCGTACGCATGTAACAAATTCTGGTGTAAGAAGTCGAATTGAACGGCAGTAGTTCATTGTTTCTGTTTCCGAGTTAAATTGAAGCTCCATACTTTGCGACTGAAGAGAATGACATTCCACTATTTTTCGAAACCATATATGTAATTAATAACTACGGTTTCAAGTCAACAACAGACTACTGATAATTACGTCTTTTCGAAAACAAAAATCATAAGCAGATTTACAAGTCTTTAGTATGATGATTTCCCTAAATACCGAGTCATTCAAGTGTTAATTGTAATTTATTTACACATCTTAGGCTGAAGCCATAACATATAATATTGGATATCCGAAAGAACTGAAGAATAATTCTTATATTTCTTTCCTGTATACTAATGTAAGTAGCATTTTAATACTTATAAGTTATCAAAAAGACTTATATCTATAAAATTTTGGAATTTTTTAAGATATATACATTTTTATGTATTTTGTATTAGTGCTGTTTACATTTTTTCCTAGGTGACGCTTAACAACGAAAGTTATTTCGATAACATGCTAAATCTACGCAAATGGTCAATGGACAACTCTTTCTCTCTGCTTCGGAAAACTAAGCCAGGAAATGAGTATGTGTTATTTATTTTAAGTATTCATGATTCAGTTACTCGTTTGAGTCACTTATTGTGCATTTCTAAGAACGTAATTGTAAAAGTAAGGAATTTCGATTCTTGTTCATCAGCCGAGCGCAAAGATTTTCCTGATATTTAGGAGCAAAGAATATGTTAAATCACCAAATGTTCCTCCGGTAATAAACAAAAAGTGCCATACATTATCAGCGACCAGTTTCTGGATCTGAATTTCTGATTAAATTGTTCAAAAGCCTTCTTTTTCAAACTCTGATATTTAGAATGTCAATTTTTAGACGTTGCTTAATAATAAGTAATTATTTAACTATAGGCAGGTATAAAACTTTAATACCCATCAATGTGTCTTCAAAAGATTTTTGTTGTCGCCAAGAAAATTCTGCAAGGTATGGTTGCAGATAATGGCATGCTGTTCCGTATGAGTTTTATTTTGCCACCTTGTTTTTTCCTCAATCATTCCAACCGTTTGAATAAATGTTTCTGTTTCTTAAACTATGCAGCTGCATTTAGATTAGTTTTAAAATATTCAAACCCACTTTCTCCTAACTCTGATTACGGAATGATTTCCAAGCATCTTTGAACATTTCGCACTATCTAATACTATTTATCACATCACTGCTGTATTAAAAATTAATTTTTCATTCTAAGAATGTAGATATAAGTTCAGAACTGTTAGAAAAGACAACTCGCACCCTATACTTCTGCTTATACATTCACTTCTTAAGGTATAACACCAAATTGTATTGTCATTGAACTCCATCAAAAAGAGTGGTTTTGTGATCATTCTCAAAATTCAAACTCAGTGGCGGAATTCTTTTCTTTTGAAAAGCATCCTTCAAAGGAACGGAATTCCAAAATTTCGTATTTAAAAATATAAATTTAGAATTTAAATATACAAATTTATCAGTTACAAACATTATGTGTTTAAGATTTATGCTATATTAATGCTGAAGTTACTGAAAACAAACGAGTGGTATCTTTATTCTAGGTCAAGGCCACATTAATATTTTTGCTGATTTCGGCCATTTTCGAAATCCATAAAATATTACTTTACATTTGAACCCATATGTTTTGGTTTTCATTTAAAAAAGTCTAGTTTCTAATCTATAACATTTTATTTGTCAAATATGGAAAATCAGAAGTTTTTTTAAACTGATTAGTTTCATTAAACAGTTTTGCGTGGTATACTTTCTTAGAAAAAGTGTGATTATATCATGTTTTGACACAATTTCTACCTAAAATTAATACTAAAGTATAGTTTAAGTTTTTTAGTATTAATTTTAGAAATACTTCAAAAAATTACTTATAGTTTACGAAACAGAAAGAAATTTACATATGGTTTACTACAGTACAAAAAGAATTACTCATATTTTACTAAACTTGAACACATGTTCAAAAAAGATACATTCTGCCCAAAATATTTTCAGCTCTAACAGGTTAACGGTAACAGCAGAGTATTTTCGTAAGACAAAAGTTTTTTGATAACCTTGCACAAAGTAATTATTTACAAGCTGTTATTACATAACTACACTAATAAATAAAATATCCAGCTATGCGCAAGTAATAAATTATTTTTTTGTGTACTAGAGATTTCGTCTAAGTCGGGAATTCAATTGTTAATTGGATGGTTCGCAAAACTTCAGCTCCAAAAGTATCACTTAAGTTACGTCTTTAATTAATATGTAACTATACAGTTTAGAGTATATTTTTATCCTTACAAAGGAATTCTATTATAAATTAATTTAATTTAATTTATTAGCAAATAGTTCCTGAATAGAATACTATAAAAATTGCTAAGAAAATGGAGTAGTTCTAGCACTGGAACTTCTGCAATAAATAAAATGTTACTCTTTACCAAGTATTATCACAAAAACTGTATTCTATATACGTAACTCTTATTTTTATAATTTAGACTAATTTCCCAATTGTCATTCTTTTCAACATATTTAACTACTCATTAATAAATCGATTCTTAAAGACATCTTCTTACACTATTTTCTGATGAAAATGTAAGCAATAAACTTCTTTTAAACATAGGAAGCTAAAATAATAATGAATAAATCTTATGTGCATTATACTTACATCAAAAGAAATTGAAAACATTGTAAAATACAGAAAATGTTGCTGAAACCGTTGAAAGATTTATTATAAACCATCGTAAATTTTCTTAAATACCTTTATGATTTCACTCGTACAGAGATTTTACGAATATATCAAGATGTTTATGTTGTAAGGATCCTAAGTTTTACTAACGTTTATTTTATTTTAAATCTTTACTATCACTTTTTATCACCGGCCAGAATTAAAAGCTTTAACTTATTGATGCAAATTTGTCTTGCTAACGCCAAGTACTTAAGTTGTGGCTTTTTGCCAAGCAATAGAGAGGGAGGAGTTATTAGAAGCAGGCCGCTTGCCATAGTAGTTTTACTCGGTTGCTGATTGCCTTCAAGGCCAGAGGTTTAATCCCCTTGATAATTTTAAACGTATCGTAGTGTTAGCAGCTCTCTGTACTACATACGGATTTTGTTAAATAACGGCCAATCTTAAAGTTAGGCACTTGTATATTAATTCAGTTAGTTAGTTAAAGTTTTAGTTAGTAGTTTTATATTCTTACGTTCAGACCACAAGTGGTTGGTCTCTGTATTCCGAAATTCCGAAAAGCTCTGTAAAGATAGAAAAATAAAGGGTTTCGCATACCCTTCCTCTGTGTTTTGTCTACTTCACAATTTATTGAACATAGCTTGAGTAAGCTCCCTGTTCCGAGTCAGGACAGTTCATGTTTCCAAAGCAAGTAAAGAGGAATACAAGTCCTGATAATGTAGCCAAATTTAAATATTTTTAGTTTATATGCCCCTATACTTCTAGGTATAGAAATATAGATTTTTTAAATGGGTGTAAGTATTACTGAAAAATTTAATAATAAGTATGAAAAAGTATATTGGAAACCTTCGTTTTCCTACCTCATACTTCTTTAAAGCTTTCATTTAAAAACTTTGCATTTTTAATTAATAAATTAGAAGTAAATTGTATCAGAGTAGCATCATGCCATTGAAACATAAGCTTTATTTTATACTGATAAATATATCTTTCTTCAGGTGGGAGAAATATTCAGTAGGAGCTGATTTTAAGCCTGCTTATGATAAATTCAAGAACACCTTAAGTAAATTTACTTTTTTCTTTAGTCATCTTTTTCGTTGTATAATCGTTTTAATCCTAAATGTAATTAATTTGAATTATTAGCATTTTAACCACCAATAACATATAAGAAACAATAACATATAATAAGAAATACTTGCATCCATTAATTTGAGAACCAATCGTCTTTGCCAAAAATAACACTGTAAGAGAAGAAGAAAAGAAAAAGACATTTTCCGACCGAAATAACGCCATTCCAACATGTTCAAAACTTTCATTTCGGCATGATCTAGTCATATAAGTAAATAACACTGTCACAGTAATTAATATTACTAATAAAAAAAGCCTAACTAAATCAATAATTCTCTCTAGTGCCCAACATTTGGTTCGGTGCCACTCTAATTCTGCAATTACTGCACGCAGACTAACTAAAAGAGTACAAACCATAACCGGAAGATAAGAACAATATTAATCAATCAATTTTGTTGTTGTTGCTGTCGTGACTTATCTTACTTGTCTGACAGTAACATCAGAACAAGCCTAAGAAAATCATCGTGGCAAGGAGTGCAAGATCACGCTTGTCATTGGTTACAGCCTTGCGGGAGCACCATACAGGTGACAGTACGACTTTCCTCAGTTCCGCCCCTAATTTTGACGGAGAGCACCCCTCTTTTCTTACCGCCAGCCTCTCGAGACGACGTTCGGCTCGCCGCATATTTAGAGTGCATCCATGCCTCATAGACACTATACATTTACAAACGGAATTCTCCGGGATTCAAACCTGCACCTTTCGGAGAGGCAGTCAGCGTCACTAATCACTAGCGCCTCGGCGGTTCAATCACTTTTAAAACGCATAATCGTAATTCACCAAGATATAAAAATAAAAAACAGAGCTCACCGAGACGAGCAAGAGAATGGGTATATATTTGTAAATATTGAAGTTGAAATTAACACTAAACAGGCAAAAAAAAATGTAAGAAAATAAACTATGTAACATTGAAGCTTAATACTTAAAATAATCTCATAAAATCAATCAACGTAATCTCTATCTTTATCAGTTCAGCTCTTACAAGCCGTTGTAAGAAATGCAAAAATTGTAAAATTAAAGCCCCAAAACCATGAACAAACTTAAGATTTTATTTTGAGCAGACCGAGTCTAATAAAAGGCAAAACTTGTAAATACAAGCAACCTAATACATGAAGTAAAAATTTTTAAACCATACAGGCCGGAATCCTTTTTTAAATTATAGCAACAGAATCATAAACAAGCAAAAAAGTTTAAAAATCTAATAATAGTTACATTAGATTTAATTGAACCCAGTCCAAAAAATCAAACAAAAAAAACAGAAGCAATCCGACTTTTGAAAAAAAAATTACAGGAAATTAAAATTTGATTTAAAAAATATAAAATAAAAATAAAATAATTTAAAAAAAAACAAGCCCCTCCCAAAAAAATCTGAATTATGTTCAAAGGGGCCTTTTGTGCTACCTTTAATGATTGAATATCATGTTCTTTGCACTTAAACCATAAAATTCAGTTCAGTAGCAATGTCACGAAATAATTTTAAAATGAGCATATCTTTAGAATTTCCGATACTCAATTCCGCGCCCGCTGGAGATAAAAAAGGTTCCCCCCCCCCCCGTAGAGTGTTGTCATTGCTCGCTTTTAAATCGTTGAGTTTGTTTCTCAAAAATTCGTTAACATTTTACAAAATATGAAATCGATAATAAAACAAATTCCAAATTTCCAATTTGGTCTTCCACATGCCCATATTCGTATGAGGATTACGTCATTTAAAATTCGATGGCTCTATGTATCTTTGTTTTACCCCAATGCAAGAAATAGACATACATTTATGCAGATTTTTCATTATTTAATTTCTTCAAATATAATGCAATACTTTGGTGGCAACAGTTTGAAAAGTGAAACTGACATTTATAGTCATTCAACGCAAAATCGCAAAACGAAAACAATAGTCTTTCAGGGACAAAGCCCCTTCGGACTAAAAAAGAAATCTGTATTAGAGCAACTAAAGTCTTGAAATGAAAAATATTAATTCCACTTGGAATATCAAAATACTATTGTTAAGTCTAACTTTCCAAGGAAAGGAAATTTGATAACCTACGAATTTTAAACTGATTAATAATGATACAAATTCTGATGTGTACACCACATGACTTCCTTGTACGGAATATTAAATTTACGCACTTTTTGCTGCATTTGATTTAAATTTATTTTCTCTAATTTCATTAGAGATATATTTCACAGTCAATTAGTTCTATTCTCAGTTCGTGGCATGGAAAAAATACGTAAAACCTCAAAATATCTTCATTAAAAATTGAAAATTATAAAAAATAATAATAAATAAAACACCAAATACAGTTAAAACAATAAAAAAAATTTCTTACAATTAAAATTAGATTTTCTACTCAAAAACAAGCAATTCGGCCCGCAGGCAAAAAGGCAGATTTTTCGGTGCACAATGAAAGTTTAATTTTGATCCCACTCGGCAAAAAGACACTGGAGGTGCAGAAACTCAATTCAGTATCCTACTAAGTTTCAAATGTAAAATAAATATGGCTGCTCGGATAAACAAAAATTAGGATTATCCACACTTAAACAACTTTTAAATTGTTGATAATTCTACAACTTTTGTATGCAGATTAACTAAAGGCATAAAAATCTTAATCGGAAGATAAGAACAACGTAATTCAATCATTGTTAAAGCAAAAAATGTGCACTTTACCAATATATAAGAATAAAAAAAACTGAGCTCACTGAGCAGACTAACAGAGTGGCTATGTATTAGTATCCACGGGCTATGTATTAGTATCCGGCTATATGACTAAAAGGAGGACTGGCCAATCCAACCAAAAAGAGGGAGCCAGCAGCCCAGCTGCTCCCCCCGCAAAAAAAAAAAAAAAAAAAAAAAAAAAAGGCGAGCAAATTAAGCAAAATTAAACTAGTCCCAGAGAAACCCGGTTAGGGCCTCGAGTAATTGGTGGGGGGGGGGGAAGAAGTTACTCACACACGCAGAAAAAAGGGCTATAGCAGAGTGGGTATATATATATATATATATATTTTTGAGTTATGCAAGATACATACATACGTACGTACATATGTGTATGTACGTACAAACGCAACGAAAAAATCTCTTGTGAATCCATTTTAAAACAGTTTTATAATTCAGGGGGGTTTGGGGAAAAAGAATCCTTTATCCTTCATATTTATTTCTACGTAGCTTTCTGTTTGTTATTTGCATACGAATGTCAAGCCAAAACATCGTTAAATTGCATTCGGATTCAAAATGGATTCAAAATTCAAAATGGATATTTTCGTTGAAATATGATACCTGGAAATTTTCGTGATTACTTCCTTTACTTCTTACAAGGAAGTAAAAATACTAAATATAATTATAAAATACTTCTATTATAACAAAAAATGTGTGGTGAAAATGAATAATTTGTAAAAGGAAAAAAATGGAATTGCCTGGATTATAAACCTTAAAAATTTCCAGTAATTAAAGGCTAAAAGATTAAGTGATTTATTAATTCGCTTCAGCTCAACGAACGGAAAATTTGTACTAATTAGGACCAAAATAATAACATTTTTTAAAAATTCAGCGACGGTAAACATTGGATTAACGCAAAAATATTTTCGTAGAAGTTAAAATTGTAAGGAATAAATAAATAAATTCGAAGAAGGTATTCGAATGTATTACTATTTTTAGAGTAGAGATGGAAATTACTTAAATTGAAAACTAAGTATTAAGTGGCTGTTGTTAACTTAAATTATAATTTACATTTACATATTACTTCCTTTACTTCGTACAAGGAAGTATTGTAATCACGAAAAATTCGAGGTACCATATTTCAACGAAAATATCCATTTTGACTGCTTTAACGATGTTTTTGAGTGACAGCTGTACGCAAGGAGAAATTAAAGGACTCTTCCCACCCAAAAAAAATTATAAAACTGATTTAAAATGAATTCTGAAGAGAATTTTTCGTAGCGTCTGTACGTACATATATTTCTCGCGTAACTCAAAAACGAGTAATCTCAGAACGTTGAAATTTTATATATAGGACTGCTATAACACGTAGATGCGCACCTCATATTTTGGTTGCAATCGGACGCACCAAAAGTATATAAAGATATGTATATACATATCCACTCTGTTACTCGGCTCACTGAGCTCAGTTTCTTTATTCTTATATGTTTGTAAATTGTGCATTTTTGCTTTAAAAATCATTGAATTGTGTTGTTCTTATGTTCCGGTTAAAATTTTTATGCCTTTAGTTAACCCGCATGCAATAATTGTGGAATTACCAAAAATTTAAAAGTATTTGAAGTGCGGCTAAGCCTAATTTTGGTTACGATAACAGCCATATTTGTTTACATTTGAGCAGAATAGTGGATATTTTGCCAATCTAGAGAAACTAAGCTTTGCAACAACAAAGTAACGTCTTCTTTTTATTGTTGCGAATTAAATTATGCTTAATTCATTCTGAAATTATCATTTAAGTTATTAGCTTGTTTTTGAGTAGAAACCGTAATTTTAATTGTAAAAATTGTTTTTTTAATTGCTTTAACTGTACTTGGTATTTTATGTTTTCCTATATCTTTCAATTTTTAATGAAACTATTTTGAATTTTTATGTATTTTGGCCTGCCGCGAAGTGAGAACTGAATTAATTAGTAGCGCATGCGCATTATGTAATTGGCACTGAATCGTGTGTGAAAAACTGTTTCTTTTTTATTTGTTTCATTCCTTTTATATATCGTTTTAGGTTTATTATAGTATTTGAATATAACTTGTGGTAATTCTTCACATGATATAATTTTTGTGCACTCTGATTTATAAAATGAATGAGATGTAACGCTGTTAAGTGAACCTAGCGCCGAAATATCGCTATGGTAAATAAATATATTGAACTTTAAAGAGTGAATTTATTCTATTGTGGTTTATGCGCTATCGACAAAGTAGATTTAATTCGTTAACTGGTAATTCAATATGTTTAAATGAAATGCAGGAAAATTATGCATGATTTAACATTCCGTACAAGGAAGTCATGTGATGTACGCATCAGATTTCTTTTGGCTGTCTTACACATATATATAAGAGCTGGAATAAGTGGTGGTAATAATGTAAAATAAAACAAAAATACATTTTTAAAATTCATCCCATATTCAATTCGGAATACACCGTATGCAAAAACCGAAAACCAAATGTACAATTGTAAACTGCAAGAGAAAGGAGAGAAAATTATGCTCATGCGTTGTGTGTAACGAAAAAAGAAGATAAATAAAATGCCTTTTTGTGAACCAAAAAAGACACAAATTAAAGTTTAATACTTAAAGACAAACTTAGAAAAGCAATCAAAGTAATATGTGTGGTCCAACCTGTACAGGGCAAAGTAAGCAGTGCAAAAAATTGCAAAATTATAACATCAAAATCATAGAAAAGTTTAAAAAGCATCATATTGTATATCAAAATTTACCTATAGTTTGTTTCTTAATTTTAAATTTAAAAACTTTCATATGGTTTTGTTTTTTCAAGGATTGGATTAATTATGTTTGCAAGTTTTGTTTTTAGACTAGATCTACTCAAAATAATTTTTAAAAATTTGTCTGCTATTATTCAATTTTTTTCAATTTGTCTATGTTTCTTATGCCATGATTTTGCAAATTTTTGCACTGCTTGCTTTGTTTTATAGGGGTTCGATTAATAAGGCACAGATTACTTTGACTGTTTTTCTAAGATTATTTTTAAATTTTAAACTTTGTTTCTTTGTCAGTTCAGAAACAGACTGTTTTATTTATTTACTTTTTTCGTTTCTTAAAGTTTCGTTTCACCAATCCCTAATGAGGATGTAGCGAGAGATGTAAATTTCATATTTCATTTTTGTTTTTGCGGTGTAATATTCGATTGTCCTCTTTGTTATACCACGGCTAACGCTATCCGCGATCAGATAATTAGCTAAATGACTGATGAGTTTGGCATTTTCGATGAATGCGCAATCAGAAAATTTCCACTCGTTTGATACATTAAAAAATAAAAAATAAAAATTCCTTAGATTAATTTCTTTGTATTAGGTTGTTATCCATTTTCAAAAATTATTATCTGGAATGCTAATTTTGAGTGCTGGACAATATACTACATATTTTCATATGCTTTACATATACATATTTTCAGGAAGAGATTAAAAAGATTCTTAACTCATTATTCCTGTAAACAGTATGCTAAAATTACTAACTTTTACGTTAAAATGTGCATTTATCTCAATGACGAGATAAAAACAATTCAACTGAGGAACGATGTGTAGATTTTTATGACTTGAGTATATATTTCATCAGTAAAGCTTTTTACAGAACTTCCCGTAGGACTGTTCCAACGTCCCGTATTCAACAATAATCATCTTCGGTAAGTAATTAATATGACACTTAAGCTATTAAAATTCAGACTTCTATTAGACTGAAATTTACATACTTGGTTTCATTTATAATTCTTTTAAAAATTTATAATCCTATTACTTATTCCAGCTACCTGAATTTTGGAGCTATTGGTTCCCTGATTGCTCATGAAATTACACATGGATTTTTTCATAAAGGTATTTTTTTACACTAAAATATCAAGAAATGCAAGTAAAAAATTTCTTTTTCAATTTCTAAAAGCTAAAAAGTAAGCTAAAATTATCCTGCATGAAATTTTAAAGCATTTAATCATGAAATGTAGTGAATCATTATAAAAAGGATTCAGTAGAAAATAAGCTAATCATTAAATCTATGTGATTAAAATACATTTAATGAAAAAGAAAGAAAAAAGTAGAAATTGAAATAGTGAAGTAGGAATTAAAATAAAAGCGGAATATGAAATAAAAATGGATTGGAGCTTCACACGTTTATATTCAATATTACCTTTCACTAATTTTACGTATCATTCAGTGACAGCAAAATACTGCTTGCTTGTAAACAGTAGTACTTTCAAACTTAACCACAAATTAAGTAACACGAAAATTAAACACAAATTTTCAGCAATTCGCAGATTAATAACCTGTAACAAAAGCACCAATACAAAAGTTTCAAGGTACTTTAATGTCTGTCATATTATATCTATATTCTGCCAGTTTGCCATATTGAATAGCTATTAAGTATTTTAACTCGTCTAAACAGAAAAAACAAATGATTGTTCTACTTCATGTACTTTATTTAAGTCCTAAATAGGTCTACTAGAACATCCTAGAGTTCGAAGCGTTCGTTAATAAATGCTTCACGGTAAACTAATTGATAATGTTAACTCTCCTACTTACATATCTTGAGAATATTAAATTCTAAAGCCAACCGATTATTTCTGTTACGATAATTCATCCAAGCAGCAATCCACAACTTGGACCACATGCAAATAAACCTTTTCTCGAAACACTCGTGAAAGGAATGTTCCTATAATTCGGCAAAGTATTACTTCGGACAGCAAAACATATACCATCTTGGATGTTCCTATTCATAGGTTCTCATATTTATACGATATTTTAGAAACTTGTGCATCTAAACATTTCTTCAAAGATTGGTCTCAGATTGTATTCATGTGACATATGATTAAAGATATATGAAACAAAGTAAACTATAATCCCGCATAGAAAAATTACCAGCGATAGAATTACTTTTTACAGCTAAATTATTTAAGGAGAGTAATTCCTTAGAATCAGGCTTCTTAACCAAAGTAACTGTTGGTTATAACTAAAGTTACCCTATTTAGACCTATGTACAGCCCTTTCTTGTAGACGTATTTCCTTAAAACTTGGTGTATACGTTATTTGAATCATGGTGGGAAAAAATCTACAATAAAAATTAAGAGTTCAAATATTGACCGGCGAATGGCGCTTTCTATGTGATGTAGAAATAATGGTATGCAAATTTGTAGTGCTTTAAAAAGCCAGTAGTCAATGCCGTAAAATCATTCTTCGCCCATGCCTTTAGAGAAGAAAGATCGAGCTTTATTGATCAAGTTGTTTTATCAGAAAGACAGTAATTTTTCAAATGCACTGCGAGAATATTAGCGTTTAAAAGATATACGAAAGGGCGTATGTGGAGGCAGGGTTTGAAAAGTATTATTACTAAATTTGAAGAGACTGGTGAGGCGTGTGTGCTGAGAAAAAGAGTATGAAAACGGATTTAAAGTTTGAACAAGGTCCTTCTCTCCGTGGTCGAAAAAGCGGACGTTTTGTCCGTTCTTTCGACATGTGCTTGAACGAGGTCACGGGATTAGCCTCTCACTTGATGAACAGTACAAAAGGTTCTGCGATCATCTGGAAAGTGGTATCCATACAAGATCCAAGTTCTGCAAGAGCTGCAACCTGCAGACCCGGACAACTGCATTGATTTTGCTAAATTTCTTTTGGCTAGAAAGCCGCTGACATTCGATGGCTTTGGAATGTTTTGTGGTCGGACATCTCGCATTTTATCCTACACGGAGCAGTTAATACTCAAAACTGTAATAAATGAGATATTTTAAGTCCTAATGTTATGCATGAGCTATCTTTGCGTCCTGATTATATGGTGTGGGTTTTATAGCTTGGTTACATGACTCTATGGTGTGGGTTTGGTTCCTCTTTCTTTGAGGAAGAACACTCTTCAAGGCTCTCAAAGTATTCCATCACATTTACCTGTTACTGCGAATTTCTTTAGCAGCAAGTCATGCAACATTACAATAGCAAGAATATTTAGATACTACTGGTCCTCATTCAAGATGGTGCACCACCTCACATTTCTAGAGCAAATGAAGGCACTGCTTCATGCTCCCTTTGAAGATGATCGGGTAATTTCGAGAAGTTTTCCGTCTATCTGCCCTCCTCGTTATCCCCATTTGAATCCCTCTGACTTCTGGTTGAGGGTATTCTTGAAATGTCATATTTATGGAGAAAGCATACAGATTGTAAAAACATGTATTTGAGGCAAATGAATGCACATTGAAGAAATTCTGTGATTAAATAAAGTTTTGTGTTTCCTTTTTTTTTTTTTTTTTTTTTTTTGTACATTCCCTTCTCGCCGGATGGTTATTTTTTACTGCAGTTTTCTTTTTCCCATGGTCCATAAAATGTATATACCAAGTTTCAATGAAATAGATCTACCAGCACTGTTTCTAGATAGGTCGAAACAGGGTATTAATTGTAACCACCTTATATTTGAAGGTATCGTTAAATAAGCTTTTGGTGAATCGCATCGAGATATTTCTAAAAATGGTTAAATATATTAAATTTGGAATGAAAATTTTTAAAATATGCTATTTACATTAATATAATTGATGAGGAAGCATTCGTTTCATATTTCATTTATGTTTTAGAACTGTTTAAAATTTGATGCTTTTTTTTTTTTTTTTTTTTTTTTTTTTTTTTTTTTTTTGCTCATGAAAAATTTAATATTTATATTCCTTTAAAAACTGTCTCAGAACGTACTATTATTTAATTCAATAATTCAAATGATTTAAGTCCTGCAAATCTGAAAATTATTTTTATTGTTACCTTTGCATAATACAGAAACCATTGCCTCTTTTGAAATGTCTTGTATGTTATGGAACCATTTTTAAATTACCATATACTGGTCCATATACTGGATAGTTCTAATCTATAAGCAGCTCCATAATCTTGTAAAGAGATGTTACAGCAAACTCCATCATCTATTTTAAGAAGTTTTGTAAGTAGTTCCATAACATATTAAACACACTTATGCCCATTCTCTAGAAAAATCAGTATTACGTTTCAATTTGCTATTATGTATCACTTTGTCAAATCACCTATATTCTGCAGTAGTTGAATTATTACTCAAATTGAAATCATGATCTGATAGCTATTCAAGAGGTATTTGAGGATTTATCTTTGAAGTGCCATGCATGCAAACTATTTATCAACAGATATGTATATGAAGTGAACAAAGAGTAGCCGGTGCTTTCATTCTCCCATGTAATAATCGCTGAAAGAAACGAAATAACCCTTTTTTCAAACTGATAAGATAAACTTTTGACAGTTTTATCAATTTTGTCTTCCCCTCTAAATAGTTGCAGAAAATAGATTAAAAAAAATTGCAGGTCTTTCCATGAACACTTAGAAAAAAATGGGAGCATATCTGTTCTAATTTTTCCGTCTTAATACATGACTAAAAACTCATATGATTCTGTAAGAAGTATTTCATTACTGATTTCTAATTGAAGCACTCATGAAGGTTGTTGAATTCATACGATTCTGTGGGAAATATTCCAATAATGATTTCTGGTTGGAATGCTTCATTAGTTAGGTTAAGTTTATATGATTTTTGTGAAGTATTCACTTAGCATCGTGCAATTCTATGAGAAATATTCCACTAGCCATTTCTTGCAATATTTAGTCATTTAGTCAGGTTACTGTATTAGTATCTGTAAGCTCCTTTCACAGATAATTTGAATAGCATTTTTGAAAAAAGTCTTTTAAATATCCTAATTAAAATATTTTTTGAGTCAAATAGTGTACCCTTTATGCATCTAATTAACTGATTTCATGCATTTATCCTAAATAATTTTTGTGTAAATTTCAGTTTGTTTAAGATACGGTATTTCGTTTTTAGTAATTAACCGATACACAACTACAGGCGAAATAAAATTATGATGCATGGCAGAACTTGTATGTTTAAGATTTTCTATCAACTTTTAAGTGTTTCCTATATCATTTTTAATACTAATAAGCTTCCATGATAGGGAAGACAGCAATGTCCTTTTCACACAGAATCTGCAAAAGCTCCGCACGCTTGGATTGGGACAGTCCGCCAGCGTTCCAATGTAACACTCGAACAGTATCAATCCGAGGAGGAGGACTATACTAATAACATTTCCATACTGTTAGGGACCTTTCAAAGTACGTAGTACGTTCTCAGGAAGATCTCTATCATCGTGTTCCTCATAAGTCTTGGAAGAATGCTATCCCGAATTTGTGTTATGGCCCAAGGCGTAGAGCGGTCGCTGAATTCCGCCGTGCCACCGGACATGACTGCCTACGATATCATCTTCATAGATTCAAAATTGTTCTTCTCCGATATGCACTCAGTACAGCTCTGGAGAGGTGATGGACGCCGCACATCTATTCCACTGCCCTGCTCTACACAAAACTTTTCTCGCCGAGCGTTAGTGGGAGGCAAAAGATATGTTAGATTAATGGACTCTGTTATAGCTTTTTTTATATTGTGTTGCTGTATTCTATGTTCTTTGTTCTTGTTTTTTGCTGTAACTGTTCATAATCTGCCATTAGAAATAAAAAAATTAATACTAATTATTATATTTACAGGGCGTCTGTTTAATAAAGATGGCAAAGTGGTGAGCTGGTGGAGCGACGAAACGAATCGGCGTTACAATCGGAAGGCCGTGTGTATCACAGAGCAGTATAATAATTTCACTGCTTTTAATGGAAGTAAAGTGAGGGCTTTTGATTTAGTTTTCTTTCTTTCTCTACATAAGTTCTAAAACTATAGATGCAAGTTTTATTTTTTAAATAATGGTCATAGATATATACTTCTAATTCAAAAATTTCGCAAAATGAAGTAGACAATTTTATGCAATTACTTTCTGCGCCTTGGAAGTTAGATGATTTTAACTTTATGGAATTAATTTCGGAACTAGAAGTAAAAAAAATCTAATCATTCGATCTAGTTTTTTAGATCTAAATTCATTAAAATGTAAGGAGTATTTTACTTTCTAAACTTTCCAAAATGTTACATTTTTTATATTTTTTCCCTTATATTCCAGCGCATTACGGGTGCGAGTTACACGCTGGATGTAAAAATGATAAACTTAAAAATAAGGAAATGATGAACAGACAAAAATTAGATTTCTAGACAAACCCTAAATACTCTTTATTTAAAAGGAAGGCGTTACATTATGAACTTGAAAATGTTCATTACCGGATAAAATGAAAACTTCGAAACATTCGTTTCCAATTATATTTTCAGGCACATCATCGAATTCTATTCCATCTTCATCATCACTGTCACTTTGATCCATAAATAAACATCTTCCTTTCTATCCACATTGTTTGATGTACTAAAATTTTTTAATGGCTTGAATTATGTCGTATTTAATTTCTTTCTATGTTTTATAATCCCCTCACACACTATTTCTAAACTAGCACGACGATGTAGTATTTGGCCTCCTCTTGTAGTAAATGTTTTTCACCTTCTAGCATTCACATATTCTTTCAAATGTTATTTCATGGTTCACTGATACACACATCTTTATCGTTTGCCAGTTCACTAATGACGTAAATCGGCCTGGAATAACTGCTATGTCTGTATTACATTCTTTCAATAATTTTATCGTATTGTCCGTTAGATGGGATCTGAACATGTCCCAGACCCCAAACTGAAGTCTTCCTGGGTCCATTAATGCAACAGGACGCTTTTCTCAAACATTTCGTATCCAAATTTCACACTGTTTTCATCCACTCATCCTTTCTCTTGAACATGTATGAAAACACCATTTTGGAAATTACATTTCGGCATCGTCTTTTATTTTTAGGGGGAATCGGAACTCTCTATACCGACAGTGTAAAATCGGCCATTTTCGATGTACCTTTTCTCGAAATCTGCAGTAGATATACTCTTGAAATTTTTTGCGTAATTAAAGTACACCTGCCTTATTCAACTGAAATGAACGTTTGAAGCATTTTGAATTTTAGAATTATTTATAGAATATTTTATGAGACATAGTAAAATTTAGCACTTTTCTTACAAAAAAATGTGAAAACATTTTCTCTTAGTTTACCTCAAAAAGCTCATTTCGGTACATATTAGGAAACGTAATAAATAAACCATAAAAAATTTAGATACCTGTGAGCAGTAATTTTTGAGAAAAGGCACATGGAGTATAAAAAAACCACTTTTGGAGTAAAACGCGTTTTTATGTAAAAATCCTCATTTATCAAAGCATTCGATGATAAATTAAAACTGAATTTTTTACAGTTCTAGTTTTCATAGAGATTAAAGTATGGTATTTTGAAAAAGCTAAAAGTGTAGAGAATTTGAAAATGCAAAAATTCCAAATCATCATTTGAAGATTTTTTGGTTTCCAACACCCCTTAAAGTAAACATACCTTTTGTAGACATTTTGTACCGGATGCTAAGCAAGAAAGCACTACAGTGAGGTGAGACTGTTCGTGACCTCTTTTTCTTATGTGAAACGTTATTGTTCCTTTCATATGAATATTTTTATTTCCTATCATATCAAACAATACTGGAGTTTCATCCATATTTCCAATATCTGACAGAAAATATTTTTGTGTGTTCGTATATCAATAACCTACTTCTGGAACTTATCAACTTGTTATCCAAATATTTCGGAAGTCTTTTCAAAACTTTTTTTTCCTAGAACTAAATTATTCCGTGCCATAAATAGACTACACTAGCTCAAGGTTGCTTTAAAGGTTTTACATTCATTTGCATTCTTTTTTTTTTTTTTTTTTTTTTTTTTTTTTTTTCATTTTAAGGCAAATAAATGTATGATGTTTTTTCTTTCAATTAATTCATTTTGGCAGTTGTCTTGGACCCAATTCGCAACACTTTCTTCTCGGTAAACCATTTCGTTACTCCTTTACACAAAGCACATGTATTCTTTGGCATATTAGCTATTGCGATTTAAATTTTCTTCCACTATGGCAGACCACTTTCCACTCACGTTTGTTGCTATCGCCAGCATCAAGCATCCTTGCTGCAGCACGTTTTTCTCTTTCTTTCGCGAAATGAATAACTTCGCATTTTAAACCAGCACTGTGCTTGTTCCGTTTGGCAGGAGTCATATTTACTGCTAAAAGCAACACTATTCAACTGTATTTCAACTAAAGCAAATGCGATTTACTAAAGACTTCAATGTTCACTTCAAAATCACGCCTTCAAATCATTACAGAAAGAGAAAACGTTTGTTTCCTGATTCCGGCAATTCCTTTGGTTCGAAAGTGCATTCTTTCCCTGAACTATGCTCCTCTTTTCTCGAAACCCTGAAATAATATTCTTTTGCCATCTGCAATGAATACAATTCATCCTCTCTGCAGAATTATTTGCTTCCTCAAGCATATCCCCTATACATATATTGCTTCCTTATCGTTTGCTAGTTCAGTATACTATTACTCGAAAACCTAAGAAAAATCTTGAGAAAATCTGGGAAAATGAATGACTTTTAAAGATAAGAGCATCGAAAACATCTTTCAGGTTTCTTTCGTAAGGAAACGGTTGTGCGAATATACCTAAAACTTTAAAAATGTAGTTTAAGGATATAAATGTGTGTTATACACTGGTGCGCTACACGCCGGAAAATACGGTATATGGAACACTTCCACCTATTGTATTATTTTTTTTTCCTTTTTCTATCTGGTTTTAAGAAGTGTTGCAAGTGGAAGTACATGTCTGGGATCAATTCTGCCATAGTTACGTTCTTCTATCATACTGTATATAGTCTGGAAATTCAGTAAAACACATTATTTAAACAAATATATACAGAAAAGCAAATAAAACACTAAAATCACAATTAAGGAAAAGAGCTTGAAGTTTGTTGCAAGTATACAAATTATATTTTCTTTCATTTCTTGTTTGTGTTTGAGCCTAACAGTATAACTTGCGATCATACAAAAAATTATTAGTTGTGCGCTCAGTCACCCTTTAAACCTGGTCCTTTAATTTAAGAGTTCTGAATTACCCTGCATATAAAACATTTTCTTTTCCTTTGTAAACTTAATTTTAAGCTGATTTTACGCTATTTTAGATTAATCAGAAAAGTAGCAGTAATTAAGACTAGACATTGTAACAGTTGCAGTTTGCTTTAAATTAATCTTGAAGTAAATGAAATAAACTTGAGTTATAGAGTTATCGAGTTTTTTAAGGTTTAAAGTTACTATTTCCTTTTGAATTTTGCGTAGATTAGCTTCAGATTATAATGGAGGAAAACCAACAATGCATGCATCGGTTATAGTATTTTACTAAAAATTCAACTAATGCTGAAATAAAACATTTAATGATTAAAAATAATATTTGTATAATGAAAGTAATTGATGTATTGTACAAAAACAGCTCGCTTATGTTTTATAATTTTTATGCATGTTGTGAAATTATGAAAATTGGTTATGGAGATAAATCTAGATGCGTTCAGTTTGAGTAATCAAGTTTCAATACAGCATACTGAATTAATTTGTCTTTCACAGGTACCCAGTGACAATACAGTCACCGAAAGTATAGCTGATCATGGAGGCCTGAAAGCAGCTTACCTGGTAAGGAAAGCATCTGAATTTTAAAACAAACATGAAAAAAAAAGTCATAAAGGTGTCAGATTTTAACGGTCTACCAAAGGAGTTTTTAAGGTTTTTTAAGCTCTCGTTGAACTCGCGGTCTAGTAGTCTGCTATTCTACTCACCCCTAAACTTTTTTTATTTAATTTCTTTTTTTGTTACAGACGCTTACTCTTTTGGGAAGCATTTTGGGAACACATACGTAAGTCGAGACTCTTCGAGGAACTAAGCGAATTATAGCTATGTCTTATTAATCAAATAGAAAAATGAGAAGAGTGTAAAAGATCATGGTACTTTTCCGTTTTGCCGGCGCAAACGATAAAGTCGCCAATAATGGTACAACTAATGCCAAAGGGAGTAGCTTCGCTGGTAACCTTTTACACTTCATTTTCAAAACAAGTCGCAGCCATTTCTTACCAGATTGAATACTGGCATACAACTGCATAGAATATTTACAAAGATAATCAAATTTTATGCCCCAAGAGCATTCGCGGTAATTAAGTCAATTAGGATGCAATTACACCACTCACCCGAAGGCGAAAATATAGAAATGCAAAATCAAATGTTAAATTTATCAATTCTAATGAGAATGCACTAGCGAAATAAAGCACTACGGTTTTATATAATTTCTCAGTAAGCTATTCGTACAAATTGAAATAATTCTTGCATTTTAAACTTGTATTCAAAATTAAGATTTAACTTCAAATTAATGTAGAGATAATTACTGAGAGAATTATATTTTTGTATCGTAGTTCACGTGAGATGAGATCACTTGGGGTCACGTTATACGATGAACCGGCGAATCAGGATGTTGAACCATGATAGCATAGTAAATTCTTAATGTCTTTTTACAAATTTATTGTCTTTATTTATTGGCATTTTACAAAATTATAAACCATATTAAAATGTTTATGCCTTCAAAAATAAAGAATTCTTAGAACTAACATTTGTTAACATTTTTTATGTGTATACTGTATGTTGTCGCCGACAAAGTCAGATTGGCGAGACTTGCGCCGGCGAAACGGAAAAGTACCAAGATCATTTTATTAAGAACTCAAATAGTTGAGCAAAAGTCACTTCTAGTGCTTAGCGTAACCCAAAATTAATGAATTCAAATTGTAACTAAGTTAAATCTTAAGTTATCCCAAAGGCTACACACACAGAAATGATTAACGCGCAAGTTGGCACAAACTGTACCGGCGCCACAAGCACGGTTGGCAAGAAAATCAACGCCGAAGACCGACTGCTATCGGAGAATTCCAACTAGTAACGTTGCCTTCAGCAAGCAGAACGCATTCTGTCTTAGCAATCTAAAACTTCACTTTAAAAACCATCTCTTTCTACCAAATTTAAATATGCGCGAACTAAAATTTGCATTCTGGCAGGAAAACAGAGAAGGAGAATCGCAGTAAGGATATTTAATATAAAATAACTGATTAGATAAAATAAATAAATATTCTACATTATTATTAAACATCTTTTTATTCATACTTATGTTCCACGCACTTCAACAGAGAAGTCACAAAATTTTTAGAAGCATCATAGCAACAAATGTTTAGAATTCTCAATGCAGTGTTACGTGTTGCAATACATTTTTATATTTTTGTCAGTATTTTCTCAGTTCATCATATCAATGTTCAATTTTTTATTATTATGAACCTTTCCTGCATTAACTTTATTTTTAAATATCAATTTCAATATAAGTCCAGCTAGTGTAATTTTGTAAAAATATTTAATATTTCTCTTCACACATGTCGTTATTATATGCCTGCAATAACTTTATTTTTTAAATATCAATTTCAATAAGTGGCAGCTAGTGTAATTTTGTAAAAATATTCAATATTTTTCTTTATACATGTCCGGATTTTAATGCACCTTCATTTAAATCAATCACATTAAAAAGCAGAAAAATCTATTCTTATGAACTGTGGTTTTTACTTTAGAATCGCCTAGTTTACTACTCAGTAATCTTCAGGATTCAGTTTGAAAGTATCTTGGGCTTTACTGAATGGAAAATACAGGGCGCTAACATTTGATGGCAACTGTTTGAAAACAAAATCAGTCATCTAAAGTGAACCAAAATTTATACTGATAAGTCGCAAAATACCGTTTCGAAACTAATAGACTCTTTTGGGTTAATAGTGATTTAAGTTTCAAATATAATGCGAAAAGCAACGAAATTCACTGCATTGTTAAGAAAAAAAAGTTAGACTTACGTAAGAAATTAAGATAAGGTTTACGTAATATTTATGCAAAAAGAAATCAGTTATACATTTATTCACCTCAAAATATAGTTGTAAGAGGAATAAATAAAATTTGTCTTTATATGCGTTTATTTGAATTGAAAATCAATTCGTAAAAGGTCTCTTCAAGTGTTTATCTAACACTTAACAGATAAACGTATTGTAATTGAAATTAGAATTATCCTACTAATCGGTACAATATACATTTTGAGAACTCTTGGATTCTACTCTACCCTTAGGCTACTGATTAAATACACCAATAATCAAAAGCATCCCTTTCCCTCAGCAGTCTCAAAATCCTTTTACGTTAAGAAACGCCAGCCAAATATATTGAAATCAGTCCTGCAATAAGGGTGTGGAATTTTGTTTGATGATTTTAACAATCGCACATATCTAAATTTCGTTGAACAATATTTAAATGATAATCGTAACAAATCGACTAATTTCTTCTAATTTTATGATTATGAACAGGGAAATAGTAATTAAAATTTTTATTAAACTCTGGGTTTGAATATATATTATTAATTGATATGGTCTGAATATTCATGCTCTTAATTGCATCCGCGAATTTTTAACGACTTTACAAATATCAGCATAGCGTAGTTTCCGTTGTTAATAATGTAAAGCAGTCATATATTGTCTTTTTTCATTCTTTATTGTCTAATTTTATTAGTAGTTATCTTTAATAGGTTGTTTACTTCGACTTGCATTATATTAAACTCTTCAACCAGGTTCTACTTAAATACACTTTTTTTTCTGTTCGAACGACATTTACTTTCCTCTTGCCCGAAGACATTTATATTTTGACATAGATGCATTTAAATTGTACAGTTGCAGAAATTAGACACTTTATCAAAACTTAAAATCAGTACACTATACGTTTATAATTCAATTCAATTTAGTTTATAATTTTTATAATTTATATTCGAAAGAAGATATCAGTCACTTTTACAATTAACGATATAATTTAGTCACTAAATTAAAAATGAAATCTGTACATATAAAATACCAATTATAGATTCAGAAGCAAATTTATTAATTTGGTATTGCTTTTCGAATATTCATAATCAAAAAGTAATGCGCACTCAAAACGCGTGGGCTCTTAGGCCTAGTCTTGCTTATTTATAGCTAGCCACTGAAATTTTGAGTTCACTATGAATGAGCAGTTTCTAGACCAACTGCTTCTTGTCATATGTTCCATAGATGAACTCTGAGGGAAAATGCAGAAATTTATTTTAATAAATATGATTTCTTAATCCATTAAAAGGGGCGTTTCGTCATGAGTCGTTTGAGTGGTTTGAGAAAGGAGTTTTATTCCTTATTTCCTTTAAGCAAAATATTTCATTTTATGATATTCAACTAAGTGAGTTTTAATATAATCAGATTCAATTTACCAAATATCAAACATTCAGATAAACTTAAAAGAGTGAAAGATGCATTTCTTTAATCCAATGTCGGGCTTTTTCCTATTCATCATTGGCTACTTCTAAGGCCAAAAGTGGTGGCCATTTTATTATAGAGGATCTAATAAGCGACCACCGTTGCCTTCTGCGAAGGGACGGACGATTACAATCTTACCTTCTCCAGGATTCGAACCCGAGTCCTTCGATACTGCAGCCGGCAGTCCTAACTACTATACCGTCAGGGCAGCACAGTACAGGCATAAGTGGGTGGGATCCCAGAAATTCACCATTGGTCGTACAGTTATAGTCCCGCCGCGCTAACTGTGCAGTTTCGTGCCAATTTGAGGGGAGAGCACCCCGGGCACGGTCCGAGTGTCTTATTACACTTCTCTTTTCCTACCACCAACTTCTCGAGAGGAAATTCAGCTCGCCATGTGTTCTAAGTGTCCCCTTACTGCACAGACAATGTACGCTTACAAACATCCATGGCTTTTCTGAGATTCGAACGCGGGCCCGTCAGTACTGCAGTTAGCTGCATCACCCACTATACAGATGAGCCACTATACACTCAAACAGCAGAAGAACTCGAAATTTTTCAAAACAACAAATGATTGTAGCCTAAGACTTTAGGTTCTTTCACCCATCAGTTAAACATATCTCGCTTAGTTTAGGTCTTCTAAAATAGCTCATAAAAGCGAGAGACTAAGAGAAACGGCATAAACAAATATGGTCCCGTTTCGATAAAAATTTGCAAAAATCTCAAAAATTGAAATTAATTCTAGCATACTCTATATATATGTATCAAGAGTACAGAAAACAATCCATAGTCCTACCGTGTCATGTCTTCCCCCTTCAAAATCATTCCAGAGCCACTCATAAAAGCGAGAGACTAAAAGGAACGGCATAAAAAATATATGGTCCAGTTTCGATAAAAATTTGCAAAAATCCCAAAAATTGAAATTAATTCCAATATGCTCCAAGGATATATATATGAACAAGAGTACAGAAAAACATGCGTAGTCCTACCGTGTCATGTGTTCTTCCTTCAAAATCATTCCAGAGCAGCACTTCGTTCTCTGAAGGGCAACTTAAGAAAGCAATAATAATTTCAGTGTTCAATGTTAGACTGCAAGAACACTTAACGTCTAATCAGTTTTATTTTATCATAATCTGCATGGCTTTCATTCTGAATCATAATATGTGTTTTTTATTCATGCTATCTACTATCATGTTTTTCAGTTTCATTATCACTATGTTAATTATGTAACTTTATATCACAACTAAACAGTTTGACTTGATTCACCATCGTCTTCCCGTGACCTTTATTGCGCTCAATGAGATCTGTATGCAGGAAGCCTTGTCTCTTTTCTATAGGAGAGGAGAAGGAAAAACACCATGAAATTTATTCATAGAAAGGGCTCCCTCCGAACAGGGCTGACCCTCCGAACAGGGCTGACCAGCAGATGAACAGGACTCGAATAGCTGTTTCTAGATTTATAATCGTGAGCGCCTGGCCTCATTGGTAGCTGAGGTCAGTTAGGCTTCTGAACAGTCTTAGATACAGGCCTTATTTGTCAAATTGATGCTTCACACGCGTATATTATGAGCTTTACTTTTTAACCTAAATCTTGATTTTGCATCTCCTTGATAAGAATAAAATTTTATGAAATGCATAAGATGACAAAAAAATAATGTAATTCAGATGATTGCCTTTTATTGCATTTAAATTTATTTTTGAATCTTTCTTTAGAGAATACCCTTCTTTACATTATTATTTTCTAAATAATTTTCTTTTTACAGGCCTACAAGTCGTGGGTAGGAAATCATACCCAAGAACTAAAGTTACCGGGATTGAATTATACACCGAATCAGTTGTTCTTTATAAGTGCAGCAAGGGTAAGTTTGTTTCATACAAACAGCAAAACGTTATACGAATAGTGGATATCGTTTGAATACAAGGTTGCGATAAATGTGTTTTTGTTTCAAAAGCGTATTAACTTATGCTGTTATACCAAGGATGTACTAACGATTCATATAGTTTGCTGCTGTCTTGTCTAGGTGAAATTCGAATTTCTCCAGATGCGTTATAGTTTTAGAAGAGAATCTCCTGGAGAATGTATACGATGCGTTCTCAGCCTTCTTTCTCTACCACAGTCTTTCGAGGAAACTTTTGGCCTAAAAGTATTTTAAGTGCCTCCATGTCTCCAAAGATATTCTCATAAAATTTTTAACATAATACTAAAGCTAAAATATAAATTAATGGCTATACAATTCGTTCAGAACTTATTTCGATACGTAGATCTTGATATAGAGAATGTGATTTTCCCGTTAATTTCAGACATATTCTTCTTCCCACTTACACGAAAATATTCTGTTTCATATGATGGCTTTTGCAACTCTTTTCTTTATTTACAATTTCACAGAAAGTACTTGTTTTGGGACTTTAATTTGTCTCCTCCGACGATTCTGTATAAATTCGTGGCGTCTACAAAGATTTCACTTGATTGTTATCGAAACCAAAAACCTATTCGTTTAAGACAATGCTTTTACATTTCAAATGCTTAAGACATTAACCTATCTATTGTTACTTTCTTTTAATTCATAAGTAAACTTCATGGAAGAGCAGACGTTTAACAAATTGTATAGATTTAGAACAACTCATCAAACGTCAAAGAATGTATTTTTGTGAAAACTGAAGCTAATATGATCTATTTCATAAGCTGGAGGATATTTCTGAAATTTTTGTACAAAAAAAACTCGAAATATTCAAAATTTTTCCAAAACATATATGTGCTAAAGTTATAATCAAAGTATTTCGTTATGGGAATATAGTAACCACAATGTAGTAAACTGTTACAGCACCAGAGGTCCAATGGCGATGGTTCATATTGTTTATGATGATATTAATCAATTTAGCAACAAGCAGTACTTCATCACAATGTTCTGAATGCATCAGTTGCCAGTCTGAAGATATACTCGTATCTTCCTAAATTAATTTAAAATGTTCCTAAAGCCATTCCCATGACAGTTTTTTGAAGTATCATTATATTTGTCCATCTCGGGAGATGACAGTCATCCCTTAGTTGCATAATCTACGCTTGTATAAAGATCTACGTTAGCTTTATTTCTGAGTGATAATATATAAAATTAGCAGTTCTTGGATGTATAATCAAATAAAAGAGTGCCACAACAGTTGCATATGTAACATACACTGGTCATCAAAATTAAAGGATAATGACAGAAATAAAGCGTAATTGCTACTTAACGGAAAATTATTAATAGAAATTTGTACAAAAGCATTAGGTAGCATAAATTACAATGCTTCGCAGTTGATTATTCGTAAAATATTGTAATTAAAACCAAACTTATGGAAATTGGAAAATGCTGTAAAATTAAGTCACCTCATGTGGAAAACAATTTTCTTTAATATGTCGTATGGTCACATATGGACAGATTTGCTTAGCTCATATCTCGATTTCTTAGACTTTACTACACAGGTGATCAAGTTTTGTAGAATTACACGCCACTCTTCTAAACGTGCACTTTTGAGCTCCTGGGAAGTACGGTGAGGAATTTGGAGCGCTGAAATTTGGAGGCCTAAGGCATCCCACACATTCTTAATCGGATTCAAGTCGGATTAGTAGGTCGCCAATCCATTCGAGTCATATCTTCTGCTTCCAGGTATTCTGACATCACATATGCTCAATAAGGCACATGTGATCCGATCCATTGGCAAAACCTCTGTTCCAGTAACATCTCTAAACAGTCTAACTTGGGGTAAAAATACCTCGTCCACATATATCCGAATTGTTTCAAAGCCTCCTTGAAAGGTATTTAGCTCAGTGCAGCCATTTGTCATGATTCTTTCTTAAGCCATTAAACCGAGGTCTCGAAAATAGAATATTTCACTGACACGGGAAGACCAGTTGCGTGTTCCTTCTTCTCTCCAGATCAAAACACGCCTATAATCACTATTCAGACTATATCTGGACTCATCAGTAAACAATACTCTGGCCCAGACGTCTTGGTTTCATTGAACACGACGATGGCAAAAGTCTAGGGCTGAACCTTACCAAAATAATGTATGAGCTTAGCTGAACTACTCATCGTATTCAAACTAACTGAAGCAGAATAGTCGTTTAAAATACTGATTTCGAAGATTTAGGATTAAAATACAATAATATCACACGCATACTTAAGCAAATGCATATTTTAATAATAAAAATTTAATTTGATGATCCAAATCAATATAATTTTATGTTTTCATTTCATATATTTACTTAATTGACTCTTAATACGTTTGATGGTCAACCAACATAGATATAGTTATAAGATTTACTTTGTCATGCAACTGACACTCTGTTAAAGCGATCATGAATAATACGAAATACAATAAATATACTAAATTTTTCTAGGTATTGTGCGAGAAAAAACCAAACCGAGTTAATTCACTCAGTCAAGCAGAGTTCAGGTAAGTAAAAAATATGAAATATTTTGCTTAAATAACATACAATTTCATTCGTAAAAGATGAGTACAGTCTTCTTCAAATACTGATCCTATAGCTACAGTTTCAGCGTTTCATACATAATAAGGTAGAAAACATTTTGAAAATAATTTCAGCACTAGGAATAAGACTTTACCATAAATATAAAATAATTTTCTAAGATCACCAGACTGCAAAAGGTCCTGTTAGTAAAATATTCGTTATGGCTTACAAAGATTAATGTAAAATATTCTGTACCTTTATGTGCAAAATGTTCTATATATATATTAATATTATTTTTGCAAAATTTTCTTTTAAGGAATGGAGCTCTTTGTTTCCAATTTTAAAAAAACAGAGAATAGTTGACTAATTTGAATTTTTGTTCTGCAGTTGTATATAAAAGGCCAAGTTTTATATTTATGAAACTTTTCCATTCAAAGTTCCAAAACTTGTCTTATAAAATATGTCTAAAATTAATATGTTTGGAAATGTATGTATTAATCCCCTAACAGCTGTTATATTAAAAGTATATATATATATATATATACAAGTAATATATATATCTGTATATACAAGTAATATATATATATATATATAAGTATAATAATTATACATTATACACTCAGTTCCAAAAGTTAAGCACGAAGATGTAAAATGCAAAAAAATCAACAAATACTGCTTTGATTGACACAAAAATTCGGCAGAAAAAGTAGCATATATATTTATGCATTAAAACAAAATCAATAATTATATACAGAATTGAAATCAAGTCAATTTTTTTTGTAAGTTATCAGATAATTACATACTGGAGACTTAAACAGAATTATGTATAAAGTGAAAATAAACAGCATAAAATGAAAAAAGGGCATTAATAGGGTGTGTGATCCCCCCTTATCTGTATACAAAGTTTACACCTTGTGACCATGCTTTTAATTAGGTGGTCAACCACCGCAGAATTAAGCAATCGCCATTCTTCTTGTAGTGCAGTTTGCAGCTCAATAAGACTGGCTGGAGGTGGGAAACGTGAAGATACAGCATGGCCGAGAGCATCCCGAAGATTTTCAATGGGATTAAGGTCGGGCGAATATGCTGGCCACGCCATACGCGCAATCCCTTCACTCTCATCGTCGATGTCAGCTCTATGGGAATGTGCGTTATCGTCCATTAAAACAAAAGTAGGGCCAACTGCTGCAGCGTACGATCTCACAATGGGTTCTAGGACTTCATCTCGATACCAGACAGCCGTCAAAGAACACCACGTTTAAAGATGTTCAGCTCGGTGCGGTATCCTAATGAAATCCCTGTCCCACATCATAATGCTTCCGCCTCGGAATGTGCGATTTTCGGTGATGTTTTGGGACTTATTTGCGTGTTCGTTGTTCACGCCCATATCCTTATTACACTTATCATCTTGGCTCCAGAGCAAATCTTGACTCATCAGTAAACATGAGATTGCCCCAATCAGACACATTCCAATTGATATGTTCCCGGCACCACTGTAATCGTGCCCCTCTTGATTGGACGAAATAAATAGGAAACACAAACTCAAGGTACCCGGGCATACAGTCCTTTTCATATGTAATCTTCGGCGTAGAGTAGCTGCCAGATTATCGCCTTACCAATGGACGCTGTAACCATTGACATCACACGTATGGAGGTCGGCTCTGTGATTTCCGCTTGGCTACAAGCAATATATCGATCTTCCGCCGGAGGTTGTAACCCTTGGGCGATCGGCTACGGGCCTTCGGACAACTGTCTGTGTGGTTTGGAATTGTTTCCATAAACGTGAAATTACAGCATGATGAACGCCGAAGAAAAGAGCAAGCAACATCTGTGATCGACTGTCCTGCTTCAATGTGTCCCCACAGTACGCCAGCGCTCAGAATCTTCCATTCGTCTTCTGGAAGTCATAGAAACACGTATGTCTTGAAAACAAATTGTACGAAAGTTTCAAACACCTTCTATCAGCACTTACAATCAACTTCTGTAACCCTTCATAAAGCTGGGTAAAACTGCCTTTATTGCATATTTCTTGACATGAAAACGCGATTGATTGGCTGTTACCTAGCATATTTGCATACTTCCATCTATCTCTGCAGCGAATTGCATCCTCTACTCTCTTCAATTCTGATTGGCTTCCGGAAATTAACAATTTCCTCTCCGTGCTTAACTTTTGGAAGTGAGTGTATTTAATATGCGTATATTTCTAATATTGCTCATCATTATGAATATTTAAGACAGTTCTAGCTCTTTAATGAAATGTAATGTAATGAATGTAAAGTTATGAAATATAATGTTCTTCAAAACAATTTGTTATATCTTACATAGTCAAAATTTTAATATGTTTTCCATTTCAGAATCATAGGAGCTATGTCTAATCTTCCTCAATTTTCCAGCGAATTTGCCTGTTCACAAAATTCAACAATGAATCGGAGAAAGAAGTGCCAAATTTGGTAACCAAGTCATCTTCTCAAATGAGAATTTCTAAAAGATTTTATTAGCGAAACTGTTTAAACAATTCTGGCATTTGTGAACAATATAGTTTGATTAATAAAATCTGAATCTGATTAATTCTTGATGTTTGTTAGTGCTTAATGTATTTGTAAGTCCGAGATTTCTGATCAAACATAAAATCTAGCTGCGATATGTTAACTTGGGATCAAGACTTATCCTCGAAAGAAACATCACAGGGATTTATAAGGAATTAAGATTTTCCGAACTGAGTACTATAAGTTCCCGTTTTCACACATTCCAGCCAACACAATCACAAACTTCATTAACGATGCAGAAGGTGCTATTCCAGGATCCAAAAATATAGTTTTGTATCAACTTCTAGTACCTCTCTAATAATAACTAAGATCGCATTGCAAAAACACAGCAGAAATCACTATGCTCATTACTGAAATTTTATTTACTGTAAATGCACTTCGTGTACATATATACTCCGATGTATCACAAGAATGATGCATGGAGATACAGTGAACAACAAAGTTATGCAATGAATGTAAAAGCCAGATAAATAATACAGAATTATAACAAGAATAATAATTAAACTGAATGTAATTGCACTGCATCAGTTTCTTGGTTTGCCAATGACGACTGTGTATGCCCCTCCCTGCAACTAAAGGAAATTAAATGACTGTTAACTGTCATGAAAACATAATCTACAAACTAAGTTATTATAAATTTCCCTGCGATGTAGATGCTTCTAGACGCAATCATGCAAGTCACAAGTTTAAAACTGATCCAGGAGCAGCAGAAATCTTAAAAACTGAGTGTCTTTTATTCTTGATTTCATCTTGCAATTTTTCTTTATTTAATTTCCATTATATTCTTGGTGATTCTTTTAATTTATACAAATGAAAAATTTTTCCGATACGTCTACAATATTTTTGTAAGCTTTTTGGAAGTAGTTCTACTACTTCAACTCTGCAGTGAGGTGGAATCCACTACAAAACAACTGTTTTTCTACTAAATATTAAATATTCCAGATCTGGGAAAAAAATTTAGGATATTTTCTGGTTACATTAGGCTGATTAATGAGAATGTATAGATAGGAAATGAAGAGACTACGATAAAATCGAACTCGCTTGCTAAGAATAATTTGCCAAGATCAAGCTTAATTATCTCAGTTTTTAGGAAATGAAAAGACTACGATAAAATCGAACTCGCTTGCTAAGAATAGATTGCCAAGATCAAGCTTAATTATCTCAGTTTTTCGAGCATATTTGCTGGAGAATTTGAGACAATTAAGCTTTCTTCTCAGCAACTTTTGCAGTATATTTGTTGCAGAAACTTATGAGACACTGTATTATATAGACAAAAAAATTGTGGAAAGATCACAATAACTCTGATCCCAGCATATTTACTAAATTATATTTCGGAACCATCTGTATATATACACCATCAAGAATCAATAACGATATGTATAACATGAGTGTGTTTTATGTTATGATGCATTATAATTTTTTGTAGATGTCTTAAAGATCTGAAGATAGCGTACACACTCGTAATGACTTAACGGAGAAAGACATCACCAGAAACAACATTTTAATTTATTCGCGATGTGATAACGCGATAAAAATGATATGTGAACACTTTTATTCTTGATAAGTATAAACGTGTTCACATATCATTTTGAGAGCGGTAAGCACCCTCAATACTTTTATAAAAAGGATCACATCACTACACAGAAGCAGAGGAAGCAGAACACGAATTTGCACAGAGAGAGGAAGACCAGAAAGAGAAGGAAATACGCATTTTGAGAAAACGTATTTATGGTACCCGAACGCATTTATAGCATTTTATAAAAGTGTTGAATTTTTTATTTAAATTCTGAGCTGTGATTAAACAAGAGCCGTCACACTGCAGATAAAATAATGTGGATTAGTTTTCAAGTGACGCTGTTTAGCTTTCAGAAAAGTGACGCAGCCAGATTAAAATAAGGAATTAAAAGGGCTATTGTTGAAATAAAGTTAGTAACCAAGCGGGCTTCTCTATACCTCATAGAATTCAGCGAACCAGGTCAAATACAAGCAGGGATGTGCTGCCGTCCAACACGTTGCGTGCCTAAAACATTACACTTCATGGGCGAGAGATGGTATCGAGAGAGGCTCTTTCCAAGTACATGTAGGCCAAGAATAAGTATCCAGGCTGAATCTTAACTCATGTGTAAAAAATACAAGGTGCTCCATTGAAGTCTGATCCAAGGCACATGTTATCGATACTATGCTAAACGCGCTCTCTTGTATACTGCAGTGAGCGGGACGCAAACAACGAGTCTTCTAGAATACAGCCCTACCTCATTAAGTTTCGCAACTGTGACTGTGAGGCACGTTTTTCAGCGGCAGCACACAGCTCATGAGAGAGCTGTGAAGCTGCAGCAGTCCTGTGTCGCCGACCTGAAATTACAGATAGCTATCCTTATTCATAGATGTGGAACTTGGTCGACCTTGTCCAGGTCTTCTGTATATGGATACAGTGTCCTTAAACGGTGGTGCCCTAATTTGAGTGCATGACTAGATCTGAAGTCCTTAAACGGTTTCCACAAATGGCAGACAACACTAGGTTCTTGCATTGAGCTCTGTAGCCACTAATGTTTTTAATTGGCCTAACTCCACTCCATCGATAATTTTCCATCTCATTCCGTCATCCATACATTCGTGGCTATTCATTTTACCTAATACCATATAAAATCTCCCAATTCTTGATGGAGTTCGAGCACACAAATCGCCGCCGAAAGCCACTCGTGCACTTTTACCCCTTCACAATTATAGCTCCGCAGACACGCATGTGTATGCTTATATATTTGACTCTGAATGTTTGCATAATTTTTCGACGGTATAATGGCTCAATCCTTTTCTTAAAAATAGACGTAATTTGCAAATTCTCTTAATTTTGCACAAGTGTATATCCTTGTCATAGTACCGTTATTTATGAAATGTTTCAAAATATTTTAAAGTAGCTAAGTTAAGGGAGACCTGAAATGAGAGAAAAAAAAGGAAATAAAAAAATAATATAACATGTGCTGTCTTATATAAAAGGATTTTCTTTGGATATGTCTTGTAATCTTAAATTACTGTGCCAGAAGCTAAAAGAGAAAAGAGGGATGAAGAGCAGGCTTTTTTTTTTAAGCATTATCTTATTTTTAGCACTTACAGAGGAAAATATTTTTATGTTTCTTTTCTATGCACCAAGTAGCAACACTATAATTTTGCAGATTTTATTCATCATTTAAGTATTATGACCGTCTTTATTATTTACTTGCAAAACATCTCCTTCGGAACACGCTTTCGCGGATATTTCCATCAACATAAAATCATTTTGAAAGAAAATTATACAGTAAAAATGCTTTAGTTTCCATAAAGGTACATATTAACGCTACTAAACAGCGAATTAACTTCAGTTTATTAAATCATAAAATAGTTATTGTTGAAACCAACCATGAATAACGAGTCCTAAGTATTCTTCACAAGTCGTAAATTTGCTGCCCTGCAGAGTTTCTGTTGAGGATGAGACGATTAAAATATTGTTTGGGGGAAAATATAGAGGGAAACGAAATTTAAGTATAACAAATTAAATATAAGTTTAAAACTAATTAAATTTAGTTACCTAGGCATTCATTTAAGCTCATCCTCAAGCGTAAAATCTATCAGCATTTTCTGGCATAGGATTTTTAAATTATTATCTACGTGGGCTGGTACATTGCCAGTCCTTTTAAGCGATGTCATTCTACTACAAATAGAATCTTCAGTTTATCTTTCAAGTTAACACCACACATTGCTCAGTTAAAAGAATACACCTATTTCTTTCTATAGCTTATTTTTTAATAATTTATTATTAAATTATTATTTTATTCTATAGCTTCTTTATATTTATTCTATAGCTTATTTTTTTCTATAGCTCATATTTTTTATAATATCTACGTATAATTTATTATGCAGTTTAAGTGTTATAATTTATCATACCAGGTATTATTCTTTAAAGCACTGAATAAGCATCTATTACTTTACTGTTATATCAAATATGCTACATCTTCATGACGGAGAAGTAAGTAATATAATGCGAAGCAGTAGGATGAAAAAAGTATAAAACGAATTATCAGGCATTATCATAATACAAAATGCAGTCTTTCTAGTCGTCACAGAATTCTGCAAGGAGTTTCATTTTAACATCAAACATGTGTATAATTTAGGATTCTTAAACTCTTTTGCCAAATTTTTCGTCTACGAAATTTAACCAACAAGACAAGATCAAATATGCTACATCTTACTAAATGGTCTGGTTAAAAGCCACACAGAATCTTGAATACCAAGAACCAAGCTTATCTTACGACTAATCTCATTAAACTTTATAATGTCACTTTTCAGCCTGTAATAAATAGGAAACGAAAATTTCCAAGAACCCTCCTTCTGAAATGCTGAAAACATGCGATAGATACACTTTAATTAATTACACACAAGACTTAATGGGTTCATGCATTTTCTATGTTTGTCTATACCGAGATTCTTTAGCAAAATGTCGGCGGACAATTCTACTTTAGACACATACTTAGCATTGATTTTCTCTTCATTAAACAACTCTTAAAAATCTTTAATAAGTTAATAAAATTGTTGATAGAATGATTAACAGAAATTTTTACTGAATGTTTTGAATTATGTTTATCAATCCACAACACAGTTGTCACTGTTACCTTTACCAAAAAACTAGCTTTCATTCAGCAATGAGATTAGGTTCATTGCTTCTTTTGGAAGCTTCTTTTAACGGAATGCATTCAGCTTCTACATCAGATAACAATACTATTGTTTGCTTGCGTCTTTCGTGGAATTCGGAAGCCTGCTAAAGTAACAATATACGCATTAAGGAATTTTTTGCAATTGTCTACATCTACATAATAATGAAGATTTAAATCATTATAGAATTTGACTTTGATTACAACTGAAAAATCAAAGCACTTTAGTTTATTTTCTTCCTTTACCTTGTACCTCGAGAGCTGCAAAAGAACACTGCCGAATTTCTACTTCGGAATTTCATTGAAAACATTCCAAATTTTCATTCGCGCATTACTGGAG